TGATAATTGTAGATTTTTCATACTTTAAGAGTTAAACAATTGGAATTATTCACTTTTTTTATTTTTCGAATATAATTTTCTTAATTTTTAATCTTTTATTTTTATTTTTTGTTATTTTTTGCTTTTATGTTAATTTTATAATTGATTAATTTATAATTAATATAGTTTAATAAAGGAATTAGAATTTATATTTTATATTTTCTTTCTATTTTATTTCTAGGCACTAATACCCAACTTATTACAATGCTGGAGTGTGGAAGCGTTCCGTGGCTACGTCCAATTTTCAGTCTGATTCCAAATGGTTACATAGGAACAAGAAGTGTTGTCAAATTGCATTCTAAGAAAAATTCGAAGAAATAAAGAAGTAAGAAGAATAATTTGTAATAAAAACATTTCGAGAATTATAATTAAATTTTAAAGTATATTGCGAAATTTATCGTTTAAAATTAAATTTGGATAAAAAAGAGATTTAGAGTTAATTTTAAAGAGGTAAGTTGAAAAAGAAAAATTATTTTACAGTAGCTCATTTAAATTTCGAACTATTTTTTGTAAATATTTATAAGATTATGATACAAAATTGTGTAGGAATATAATTATCTAAAATGAAAAACAAAGAATTATAAAGGTAGCATTCATAGTAGATAAGATGTAAAGAAGTTTGTGTTATAGTTATTTAAAGGTGATAATTTATGAATTTTATAATTAGAAGTTACTGGTGAACTAAAAATATATTTTAATCTAACTGAATCTAATAGAGACTCTAAGATTTAGATTTTAGAAATTATAATAAGTTATTAAATAATTGATCAATGGAGATAACTATGATAAAGGAATTGGAATATAAATTGTGAGGATTAAATAAATTTATTTGTAAAAATATATTATAATTCATTTCGAAGATTAAAATTAAAGACTAGAATACAAATTAAAAGATATGAAAATTTAAAAATTCGGAGAATAAGATTAGAGACTAAGATAAATATACAATTATTGTTAGAAAATAGTTGATGTTGTAATTAAATTCTTATTGAAGATTACGTTTAACTTTTATTTTAAGAGCTGCGAGAGATAAAACAGCCTTAAGGATCTGATATGGGAATAATACACGCATAAGTTGATAATATTTAGTAAAATAATAGTTGATTAACCAAAAATCTTCATAAAGAGAAACGGCTTTCATCATTAGAAAATTTATGCCGCAATCGCTCATTTGAGATCGAATTTTTATTTTGGATTATTAATAAGATTTAAGAATAATTATGCATCAGTTTTCTAATTATAGCAGAAAGAAAACAAGCGAAAATATGGAAATGTTAAAAGAAATGATAAAGACTATTTTAAATTATTTTAATAAAGTTTTAGATATAAGAAAATCCGAGCTTTTAGATAAAAGATCCATGCAGAATGAAGAATTAATTTTTTTTGAATAATGATGATATGGATACAAAATACTTAGGAAGAGAAAAAATAATTTTTTTTTTGATATTACAAGAGTGTAAAATGAAAAAAAAATAGGAGAATTTAAGAAGTTTTAAAAAGAAAAATTAGAGTGTAAAATAGTGATAAAAAGTAAGTTAATTGATTGTTTTTTTAAACAAGTTGTGCTAGAATTAGGAGAATCATAATTTTATGTTTTAAAATTGATGATAAACATAATCGATTTGCTGATGAACAAGTGGAATTATGAGAATTATAATTTTAAGTGTTGATGATAGACATAATTGATTTGTTTTTTTTAACAAGTCTGATAGTTATGAGAATCATAAATTTGGTGTGTTGAAAATTGATGATAGACATAATTGATTGGTTTTTTAACAAGTCTGCGAGAGTTATGAGAATCATAATTTTATTAAGTTTTTTTTCAACAACTAGAGTAAAAAAAGAAAAAGATATTATTTAGTCCAGTTGTTTTCAAACAAAGGGTGTTAACCGCATAAAAGAGAACGAATTAGATATTTTATTTTGCTTTAAAAAACAGGCGTGTACAAGGAGTTTTTAATTAAAACGAAATAAATGCGTAATACCACAAGAAGACAAAATATTTTTTGTAAAAATTTAGAACTAAAAGATTTTTTGATTCAAGATATTCAAGAGAATTTTAGATTTAAATTCAGCTTTAGACATGGTTGACAAAAGATGGATCGATAGCTAAAAGACATACCTGCAAATGGTTCAATGAAGATATAGATCTGGGCACATTGAGGTAAAGGGGTGGTAGAATTTGATATAATTATATAATTTATTTAGTATCTGACTATGTATTATAAATTTAAGATTTAGTATAATTTACGCCATTTAATAAATAGGCAGAATTAGATTAGAGGAGATAACTGTAGACATTAGGATAAATTTGCTGTATTTAGACTATGTAGTTTAAATTTGAGAATAAATGTAGGAAAAATGATAAAATATTTCAGAAGTCATAAAGGGTTAAATAGATTATTTTAGGTAGAAGTAGATTAGATGCGATCTGAGACCTTGAGACAAAGATCAAGGGAGAATAAAGACAAAGTCTAAATCTAGGAACTGTCGTAGAAGACACAGAAATCTAAAAAATCGATACGGTTACAAGAATTAATGAAAAGAACTAATCATTTACAAGAAAACGTTGGAAACTAGAGACTAGATAGAACAAATGATCAAGACGTTCAGGCTGCAATCGTTAATCGCTGACCTGACCAATTATCGCTAATGGTTTATCGAAACTTTAGTTTAAGATACGGAAGTCGATGATCATAGGAACAAGAATTCGGGAACCATCATGAATCGCAGACCAATTATCGTCAATCATTTACCGAGATAGAGCGCTAATCATTTATTACAAGAGAATGTTAGAAACAGACTAGCTATAAATTATATAGAAATTCAGATGGGTAATAGAAGAAACAAAAGTTGAAAACTAGAATTCATCGATAATGGTTTACAAGAAATCGTAATCAATTACCAGTTATAGTCAATTACCGCGATAAAGAGTTATTAGTTACAAGAGAACGTGAGAAACAAGCAAAGACTAGAATAAGTTATCAAAAAAATTAAACCGGGTTTAAGAGACATAAATTGTAAAGAAAGAATAGTATCAATCTATTATCGGTAACTAGCCATCGTAAATCGTTAAGCATGCGTTAATTGGTTCGTCAATCTCTTACAGAGATAGAGTCAATCGTTTACTAGGGTTGACAAGCAACAGAAGATAGAATTCCAGAATTTCAAGCTGTAATCGGATGCGAACGATAGATAGAAACTAAGAATACTAGTCAAGGAACAGCCGTCGTTAGAAATTAGAAGACATTAAAGAGTAAGAAATAGATTTGGGGGATATACAAGATCAGTAAAGACGAAATCGAAAGAAAGTTGGCTGAATGATGGGTTTAATTTAAGTGGAAGGGTGTTGTAATATTCAGTTACAAAAAAATGCATTATTCAAATTATGATAATATTCAAACAAAAATAATGTTTTATTAAAATTATTACTTTATTATTTAAGTCTTAGAGTATGCAAATGAGATGAAAACGGGTGATAATTGTAGATTTTTTATACTTTAAGAGTTCGACAATTGGATATTTTCACTTTTTTTTTCGCATATAATTTTCTTAATTTTTAATCTTTCTCTTTTTTGTTACTTTTTCCTTTTATAATTTATAATTAATAGAGTATAATAAAGGAATTGGAATTTATATTTTCTTTCTAGGCACTAATCCCAACTTATTACAGGAAGTAATCGAAATTTTTTTTATTAGTCAAGCCAAAATTAAAATATATAAATAAGTAGAAGTTAGCGGAATATTTATAAAATTATTTTGCAAAATTCTGAATAAATTAGCTTAAAATAATTTTGAACAATGGTATTGTTTATAATTAATGGGCGTCATGGCTAAGCAAGGATTTATAAATTCATTTGCATGACAAAAATATACTTCAATCTTAAATTGATATCTATAGATATAAATGGGGGAAAATTAATATTTGTATATATATTTTAGTCTTAATATTTTTAATTAAATTATTTGCTCATACATATGAGATAAAATTTGAACTTAAATAATTTTATTTTTTAGATAAAAAAGTGTAAATAAAAGTATATCAAAATGTATCTTAAAAGATATCCATAAACAGATACCTCTGAAATAGCATATAGATACTTTTACAACTCTGATTATCTTAATAAATTTTTAATAATATAATTACAATTATTAAACAAATTATTGCTTTTAAAAAAGAAAAAATTTTTTATTCAAAAAAAAGTAAGGAAAAAAAATATATTATAAAAAATTTTCTCTTTTGTTTATTAAAAAAATAAGCAATTTTTTATTTGCTTCCCCATGCTTATTTTTTAAACGTAAAATTATACAATATATTCGCATGATTTTTTAATTAAAAAAATAAGCAATCTTAAATTTACTTCCCTCAAGTATATTTTAAAATAGTAAATTTTTTAACGTAGTAATCATAATATTAATATTTTTAAAGTATATTAATTATTTTAACGAAGTAAGATTAGTATTTTTTAACATATTATAAAGATTATATTACGTTTTATTTTAGAATTTTGTAGGAAAAATTTCAAGGGAAGCAATATTTCCGAAAGCTTCGTCACTACCCTATAAAAAAATAAAAATAATTAGTAGTTTAAATTGAATGATCAAAAATTATAGATTTCATTTTAAAATGACCAAATTTTAAATAAAAACTGCGCATTCAATTAATTTTTATTACAATCTGAATGTGAGAATAAATTAAAAAATATAGAATATTAGAAAATTAATAAAAATAAATTTACCTATGATCATGATTAGTAATAGCAAATGATATTGACATATGAAATTTTACATACAAATTCAATAGATAGAAATACATGCATTTTCATGGTTCCAAAATTATTACTTAATACAATGCTTTTAGATCTCATATTTTTAAATATATTTATTTTACAATTCATACTATTTAGGCATATATTATTTAAATAGTTGGGTATAAATGATAAATATTTAATTCACACATAATTGATAGAATACTATAATTAAAATACATTTTTTTGTTAATTATAAAACTATTAATTGCTTTAGTTTTTCCCGAAAAATAAAACAATATGCATTTATCAATATTCGATTATTTTTTTTACATTAATAAAACCATTTATACGTCTATAACAAAAGGAGATTCATATTTAAATTTAAATTGGAATGCCAATTATATTATTGAGCATATATTTGAGATATTTATAAATCGCGTTATCCTCTTGAAAAAAATCTGAGATAATTTTATGCTTTATAAATCGTTCATGTCATCGTAACGAGCCTTTTCAAGTCGAGCGCTGTGTGGTGGTTTCATGATTTTTCGTTTAAAAAAGCCAATCTGAAAATTATATTGCAGAAATAGATATTTAAAAACAGTTTTTTCTTTATTTACTAGATATTATTTTAATAGAAGTCAAATAATTGAAATATAAAAAAAAATTTAATTTTAAAAACTAAACTGTATTAAATGATCTAATTTAACTCTTTCAATTTATTGTTATAATAAGCATTTACTTTCCAGAGAAGGATGGTAATTAAAAAGAACAAAAATATCCCAGAACATATTGCAACTATAATTATCCAAGGCTCGGTTTCCTTGTGTTCCGTGATAACATCAAGATCTGGATAAGCTATCGTTTCAATCTAAAGGAAAAATAGTAGTTTATTAAAAAAAATTATAAAATTATTCTTAAAAAATAATTCAGGCCTTAATTCATGAAAGAATAAATAAAAAGTATGATCTAAAACAAATTAGTTAATTAGACAAAACTGGAACCGATATCTTCACGATGATATTCATCAATACTTTTTATTTTTTTGCCTATACCAGACTATTTAACCCCCTAAAAGTTATTGATAAAATTTTGCACCAAAAAATTATATTTGCTTGCAATATAAATATTTTACAATTTATCCTAAAAATCATTAGTTTTTTGGGGTCATTTTTATTTCATCAATTGTTAATTTTTTTGAGCCAGTTTTATTTCATAAAATTTAAAAGGCTGCCTTTCTCCTGCTTTACAGAATCATATTTATTATTACCTTTTCGATCTATATTATATATTCATAGACCTGCAGAGTTCAGATTTTAGGGCTAGCATTGCTTTCAAAAAAATATCATTTTCAAATTTGGCCCCGATTTCAAAAATAAATTATTTTCAAGACCGACCTGGATTTTTATTTTTGATTATTTTCCAGACCGGAATTGTTAAAATATTTTGGAAAATTTCTTCTATAGGAAATAAAAATATAAGCAAGAAATGAATATTAAACCTTTAATTATATTATTTTCCAATATTTTTTAACTTACTAATGACAAAATCTTATTTTCGGTCGATTTTTAAAATTATACCAATTTTTGACCTTGTGCAGGTCTCTAATATATTTTTTTTCATATGATAAACGCCTTTTTTTTTTAAAAAAAGAGAGAATCTCACAAATAATGAAGATCATTATTTATAATTCTTGTCTTATTTTATCATACATTACAAATATTATTATTATTCAATAGTAGTAATATAAATAAAAATTGATGAGTTTGAATAAAATATGGTTGTATCGGGATGATACCCGCCAGTATCAGTATATCTCTAGATGAGAACTAAGAATTTAGAACATGCCATAAAAAATATTCATTTAAGTTACATAAGCTTCATCATTGCTAATATTTTGTTCAACGTGATATTTTTTATCAATGTAAAGAAATGCGCGAGATATAATAGCAACAGCATCTATCAAGGGATAATCCTTTGAAATATATAAAAAATAATTAAATATAGTGGTGTGGAGGAGCTACTTTAAAATAAATGGGGAAAGGGGAGGGGATTTATTATGTCATAAAATTTTGAAATAATTCTTACATTGTTTTTATATATAAAATTAACTTAATTTCATGACAAAATATCTGAAATTAAAAAAATGTGCACTCTAAATTATTTAGCTGTTAAAGATTACAATATATCCTACGACATATATCACTAAGTTTATAACCAATCAATTTAATATAATATAACATTTATTTATTGTTTATAACCCAATATATTAAATTAAACTGATTGTTCCTTTTAAAACACATTATATATTTTTTACAAGAATCCTCAAAAATGAAGTAAAATTTTATATAAATATTAGTTTTTTTAATTTGAAATTATATTTTAGGCGTTGTTATAATATAATATTTTTCACTTTGTGTTGATTGATTTAAATTTGAATATTATTTATTTTATATGTTGATTGATTTAAATTTGAATATTATTTATTTTTATATTTAAGTTGTTCAATTAACTTGTAAATTTTATATATATATAATGTTTTTTAGATGAAATATATAGTAATAAAATAGTTAAAACAAGTCTTTACAATTTTTATTTTACAATTTACATGGTGCCCCGGTTACGGTGGTACGTTTTTCATTTTAAATTAAATTTAAATGATAAAAGTTTTAAAAGAAAAATTTAAAAAATATCCTTACCTTGAATTTTTTTGTTAAAAATAAAAAGTAAACGAAATACTTATCAAATTCGTCGTTCGATATGGGAGATGTTAAAGGACAAAATAAAATTTTTTTTGACTTTTCTTTTCGATAGTCAAAATTTTATCCAAATTTACAAATTTATAAAAAGGTAAAAAAAAATATATATATATATATATATAAAATAAGAGTATATATATACAAATATAAAAAAATATTTTTCATAAAAATAATGTTTTGTTTTAAAACGTATGATATACCTCAACACGTTATTATTGATGATATGTTAAAAGAAATGGGAATTAAAGAATTTTCTTATGTACGTGATACTAGGACAAACGAAATTGTTTTTTATTTTAAATCTTTACGTAAAATGATTAATGCATTTATATGTCTTAATGGCAAACCATATATTCTAGATGACAATAATTTTATTTTTATATTTTGTAAAATTATTGAATATTAAAATTTAAATATCTTTATGCTTTAGATATTTGACATTATATTTATAGAAAATTTTCCCTATAAATTTACGCAATATTTAACTTATAGAATGTCAATAAATTTTTTCTAAAAACTTAGTCACGAATTAGTATTAAATTTTTCAAAGACAAATTATATTGAAGCTTAGTGGATCAAATCCTCTTTACGAATTCGAATTAGAATTTTTATAAATAAACTATTAAAACTTAGTGGACCATATTATCTTGATTAAAATTAAAATTTTTAGACAACTTAAATTGGATTTTAATGAACGACAATGTTTTACTTTTACGATTTTAAATATTGAAAGTTTACTTTACTCAAATAAAATTATATAATGGACGAAAAATTAACTCTTACACACACTCAATATGTTCCTAAATTTCCCAAGTTATCAGGAAAATTATCTGAGACTTACCTTAACTTAATAGAAACATACTTTGAAGGACATATTGAGTCAGACTCATCTAAAATTAGGACACTACTATGCAGCTTACCAATTGAGATTGTAGACCAAGTTACGTCGATATGTTCTAAAGCACAGTTAAAAGATTTTAATATTGTTTTTGGTAAATTAAAACTGTTAATTCCAAGTGAGGACATTAATGTAAATATAAAGAACTTTAACTTAGCGGTACAAGGTGCCGAGGAGTCCTTCCATACTTTTTATTTTAGAATTTCAAAACTTCATAAAAAATGCGATTTTGATAACGATACAAGAATGATTGAGAAATTAATAACTTGTTCTTTAAATGATAATATCAGAAGGAAGTTAAATAAACATAAGCACGAAGGTTTAGATAAGATGATGAAATTAGGAGTGGAGTTAGATGGCAGCAATATTAAACCAGACGTTAGCGATACAAATTATGTAGACAATAATAAAAAATTGGATAAAAATAAAAAATTTTACAATTTAAACATGGATAAAATACCATGCAAAAGTACTTTTAGTAATAATGAGAATAATTCTAATGATTATGAACGTAATAATTTTAAAGAAAATAATTTTAATTATGATGGACGTAACATTCATAAGGAAAATTTTGATTTTAAGAAGAGGAATTATAATGATTTTAGGCCTAATTATAGTGCTAGCCGAAACTATCAAAACAATATTTTTCGAGACAGTGAGGGTAACTCTAGAAATTTTCGTAATAACCAATCTTCGAATAACAATTCAAACTATTACGGAAGAAACTCCATGTGGCACAACAACAATAATGCAAACAATTATAATAGAAACAATGCCTGGCAATACAATAACAATTCAAACAATTATGGTAGAGGTACTTGGCAAAACAATAATTATAATGGGAGAAACAATTCCTGGTCTTACAACAATCAAAGAAATCAGAGTCAATATAATAATCGATATGGTTATCAATATCAATCCTATAATAACAACAATAATGGAGAAAATAATGCGTGGAAAAATTATAATCAGTATATTAATCAAAGAAAACCATTACAATATAATGACGTGAATCAAAGTAACATCAATTGTAACATGAACATTGAAGAGATTGTTGAAGAAAAATATAACCCTACACAAAATAATAATGGTAGTGATTTTAATATCAACAATTTAACTGAGTTTAAACATAATGATAATGCGTTCATGATCACTTTAAAAGTAAATGATGCTGTTGTTACTATGCAGGTTGATACGGGATCCAAGTTTACAATTATACCTCATGAAATGGCTAAACAAATAGGTATTAAAGATCTTAAAAAGTCCACTCTACAACTTTCAGCTTATGATGGAAACTTAATCAAGATTATTGGCGTCACTCAAGTTAAAGTAACCTACGAAGGTATCACCAAACACTTGCAAGCCGTGATCGTTAAATCTAATAAAAATGCGTTATTGGGACGTATGTGGATTAATGCCTTTAGTAATATTTTGAACAAATTTATAGCAAACATTGATACCAACTATGAAGATGAAATAAAGAAATTAATAAAAGATTGCGAATCTAAACTGACTAAAAAACCTATCAACAAAGGGAATGTCAAAATATATCTACGTAACGACGCCAAACCGAAAATCATACCACCTAGACGGTTACCTTATTCAAAGATAGACGCTGTTACTAAAGAACTTATGAGATGGATAGGAGATGGAGTCATTGAGCCTGTAACAGATGTCCGATGGGCAAGTCCGATAACCGCTGTCTACAAGGATAATGGGAGCGTTAGGGTTTGCGCCGACTTCAAAGACACTGTCAACCCAGCCCTTGAGGACTTCAGATACCCACTTCCAAGAATAAATGACCTTATCGCTAAGCTCAAGGAAGGGAAGAAGTTCACCAAGATAGATTTCAAGGATGCGTTCCTACAAATTCCCATTGATGAAACCTGCAGAGACATATTAACTATATCTACACACAGGGGGTACTACCGGTTTACCAGACTTCCTTTTGGGTTAAAGACTTCATCTGCGATTTTTCAACAAATTATGGATCAAATTTTCAGTGACATGAAAGATGTCATATTTTATATTGATGATCTACTAATTACGGGAAGTAGTGACGAAGTTCATTTCAACAACATAAAGAAGGTTTTTGAAAGAATACTATCTCATGGTTTAGTGCCTAATTTTGCAAAAAGCTTATTTTTCAAAAAAAGTCTAAGGTTCTTAGGACACGACATCGACGCCAAGGGGATCCACGCCAACCATGACAAAATCGAGGCGATCGTTAAAATGCCGGAACCAAAATCAGCCGCGGAATTGTCAACGTTTCTAGGTATGGCCGGGTACTACAGAAAATTTTTGAACAACTTCGCTGAAATAGCTGATCCTTTATACAAGATTGTTAACAAAGAAAAATGGGAGTGGAATTTAGAACACTCCAAAAGTTTTGATGATTTAAAGACATTGATTAGTCTTCCTCCAGCTTTGACGTACTTTAATCCTGAACTACCTATCGGAATTGCGACTGATGCATCTAAAAGAGGTTTAGGAGCTGTTTTGTTCCACACTGAAAAAGATGGCAAAGAAAAACCGATAGCTTTTGCATCAAGAACTTTAGCAAAATCTGAAACAAATTATACCAATATTGAGCGTGAAGCTTTGGCCATTATGTTTGCTATCAAGAGATTTCAAGAATACTTGATAGGGACTAAGTTCACTATTATAACGGATCACAAGCCGCTAATCCATATTTTCACCAAAGGGCTCAAAGATAATAGCACCATGTCATTAAGGTTACAGAAGTGGAGTATAATTTTGGGGGGTTACGACTTTAACATCAGATATAAAGCTGGTAAATACAATGTTGTTCCCGATTGCCTCTCAAGACTACCACAAGTAATTGATGATGACGTTATTGATGATATCGCGATTATAAATGACTTTGGCGATATACCTCTTAGTTTTGACCGAATACGTGATGAAACATCCAAAGATTTTGAATTATCTCAAGTTATGAATGACATAAGAAATAATGTGCCTATCCAAAATAAAATTTATGAAAATATTGAACAAGAACTAAGTATCATTAAAGATTGTCTGTACAAAAGCGACAAAATAATAATTCCGTCAAGTCTGAGAAAGAACATACTGAAGGCGTTACACGAAGGTCATTTGGGAGCAGGTAAAATTAAATCCTTAGCCAAAGATCGTATGTGGTGGTCTGGTATGGTCAACGACATTGATTTGGAAGTCAAAAGTTGCGATGATTGTAATATTTATCATGACAATCCAAAGAAGATACAAAATCCATGGGTAGCAGCAACTAAACCATTTGAAAGGATACACATAGATTATGCGGGTCCGTTTTTTACAAAGAATTGGTTGATAATCGTTGATGCTTATAGTAAATTTCCGGTTATAGTTCCGGTAAAGAGTATTACGACTGAATTCACGTTAAAGGAAATTTATAAAACTATTTCACTATTTGGTATACCTGAAACCATTGTTACAGATAATGGTACCAATTTCACGAGCAAAGATTTTGAAAAATTTTGTAGCAATTATGGTATAAAACATGTACTAACGTCGGCCTACCATCAGCAATCTAATGGACAAGCTGAACGTATGGTGAGAACATTTAAAGCTCATATGAAAAGAAACATAAAGATTGGCTTAGAAACTGCGCTGGACAGATTTTTGTTCAACTATAGAAACACGCCGAATGACACTACGGGAGTTACACCGTCCAAAAGAATGTTTAACCGCGACATTAGAATAAAGTGGGATTTATTAAAACCTTTGGAGGATAAAGTTGGTGAAGTCTTCATGTCGTTACCACGAAATCGAACTTTTAATAGAGGAGACTATGTTTGGTATAAGAAACAGGGTGATGATACGTGGTGCAAAGGCAGCATCAAGCTTAAAGAGAGTAACACCATGTTTCAAGTTTATACTGATAAAGGGATAGTAAGTAGGCATATTGATCAGTTAAGGAAAAGAGAATGTTACAATAGTTTAAAATATTATGAAATTGACCCTAAAAATTCCTCTAAAGGGGGAAGTGTGGACACAAAGAATGAGATTAAGATACCAATTACTAGACCAATAAGAATTAAAAATAAACCTGATTACTTAAAAGATTACGTGCTTAAAATTTAAATATAAAACGCTAAAAATAAAACGCTAAAAATATAAAACGCTAAAAGTATAAAACGCTATAAAAAATAATATAATAATCGTTATGATTTATCATTCCTTATTTTGGATTTTATTCCTTATTCCATAAATTATCATTCCTTATTACATATTTTATTGTTCCGAAATTCAAAATTTTATTCGTGCATATTATTCATATATTTGATCAACTATTCCAAATTACATATTCCAATTTATTCCAATATTCGACTGGATTAATTATGAAAAATGATAATAACAATTTTGAGAAATGTGAACAACATACGATAAGGATATCAAACCAACGATAACGTTCAAACCTACGCGATTGATTCAAGCCTACAAAAAACGTACAAACTCACGCAACTCTAATAAACGATTTTATCAAACCTACGTGATAGAATCAAGCCTACGAAAACATTTGAGACTTATGCGCTAACCAAGATAAAACCGAGTACAATCGAAACAGGAAAAACTTCTAGGACAACAAGCTCTCGATGACTGCTGAGAAGAAGCTTCGTTGTTTGTAGAAGAGGGGGAATGTTGATTGATTTAAATTTGAATATTATTTATTTTATATGTTGATTGATTTAAATTTGAATATTATTTATTTTATATTTAAGTTGTTCAATTAACTTGTAAATTTTATATATATATAATGTTTTTTAGATGAAATATATAGTAATAAAATAGTTAAAACAAGTCTTTACAATTTTTATTTACAATTTACACTTTGATAAAGAGTTTTTTTAATTCAAGAAAACAGATGACATCATTCTAATCTTCTTTGCACCGGTTTTAATATGCTGACTATTCTTTTTAAAATAAAACCAAAAATGCATTAAAAATACAACCGAAAGCAAAACATCCAAATATTTTGGTTGCGGAGTCCAATCCAAATTACATTATAATTTACTCGACCAATATTAATTATGAATATTGGATCAATTGGCACAACCCAATTTAATCGAGAGAAAAATACATTGAAATTCATTTAAAATGTTTAAGACAAAGGCTAATAATAACCTGTAGTATTCTTCGATCAGTATATTTATTTTTACCAATATCTAAGTAATCGGTAAAAATAATATACATATATAAATTTGATTAGTAATTTTTGTCAGTGAAAAAATAACATTTATTTAGTTAATAGTGAGATTGGCTAGTAATGGTGTAGATTAGTGATGTAAATGGGCTCTTTTGAGCCGATTTAAAAAAACGGTTAATTCAGTATTTTATCCAGAAAAATATTAAGCAAGCCTGAAGATTTTACTCATGGATGTCACAAAGATTTGGACATCTATTAGTGAAATCTCGAGGCTTAGGTTATATTTTTCTGGCCAAATTAATGAGTTAGCTGTTTTAAAAAATCGACACAAATGGAGTGATTTTCTATCACTAGTGTAGATGTCATTTAGTTTTCTAAGATCTTTTAATTATACGCAAACGCAATTATAAACAAACATACACAGATATAAAAAAACGTATAATTATGCATTACACATAACACAACAATAAAAAGAAAAACAAAACAAAACAAGAGAACGAAAAGAAAGAGTCAAGAATTAAAGAGAATATATATAAGACAAAAACAATAGATAAAATACTAAACGGAATACAAGGGAGAATTGGAGAAATACAAAGAATAGATAAATTATCGAAAAATTGAAATAATAGTAAAAAGGGAGACAAAAAGATCAATATAGTGAAATTAAAATAAAAGAATTAGAGAATCATACAAAAAAGGAGGATGTTACAGTAAAATAATGTTGTTTATAAGCTATCATATTAAGAGTTTTTGTTCGAAAACATGGCAAATCCAGTAATATATTTTATTTTAAAATTGTTTCATTTATAGATTACGAACCAAATGATGAATGTTTGATTTGAATTTATAAGGATGTAGCTTAATTATAACGTTGATAATAATTTTTTTTTAAATTTTCAAAGAGGGATATTTGTAAATAAAAGGGAAAACGGATATTTTAGGGGAAATGTCATTATAGTTATATTGAAATAACGATAAATAAAAGGAAAGTAGGCTAGCCTAGTTATATAAAAATATAAATGGTTATATAACAAACTTCGACTAAAGTAGAGTTCCATAATCTAGATTGTAAATGTATGACAATACTTTCCGAGGAAGACAATTCTCCAATATGACACGTAAATTTTACGCATTTAGCAGTCCCTTTTAGACAATCCTTATTATTTAAGTGAGAATTGTAATATTGGTATATGATAGTCAAAATGTGAAATTATATAATAAGAAATTCAAAAAAAAAAAATTTTGTTTGGATTCCATTCTTACATAGTTTTGATTTTAAATTATGTTCTAGATGTAATTCTGAAACTATTTCCACATAATTTTTTAAATAACTTTTAATGCCTTGAAATTATTACCATTATGAGTATTTACAATTCCTGTAAATAATATTATATAGTTCCCGCTTCAAAAATTAAAGGTTCTTTTTAGGTTTAAATTTAAATCCGTGATAAATAATAAAATTTAAATTATAACAGTTGAGATGATTATATTCATACTACTAGAGGAGAAATATATTTTAGCCCCTTTGAAATTCCGCTTATGACACTTTTCATTATATAAATATTTTTAAGCAATGATGTTAATTGTATTATATATACCATAGTAACAATATTTTTCAGTTTTCCTCCCAACATTTTTGCTTCAGGCAATATAATTAATTCTCGTTTGTTTCTAGTAACTATTTTTGTGAATATTTTTTTGATTTTTCGCTTAAATCTTTTGACGATAGATGTTGATACATGTAAATAATCCTATAATTAAAAACAAAAATAAAATAATATGCAAAATTTATAAAAAAAACATTTTTGGTTTTATTTTTGGTGAGGTTGCTTTTAAGTGACGGTGTCTCAAGCTAAAATATAAATTATATAAAAAAGTATAAAAAAATTTACTTCTAATTTTAAGAGGTTAACAAAATTAGAATCGATTTCACACATACCATTTCCATCAACCTTGAAATGCAAAAATTAAGAAAAATCAATTATAATTAATATTATATTTCACTTTATAAATTAAATGATTTGGACAGGGCCTAAAAAATAATTTTCGTAGTTATAATATGCAAATAAGTTAGAACATTTATAATTACCCAAGGATATCTAGTCATATACAAGAGCCATTTGCCGTGTTTCCTTTTATTTTCTACCTCATAAGGCCACATAACATCAACGTACGATGAACCAATGGTACCAGGTCCATGGTTAATAACCTAATTTTGATCAAACAAACTATTATCATTAATTAATAACAAATGTTACTTATTCCAAAATAGTTTTATATACAATAATTAAGCCCTGCATCGGAACCATTTTCAAGGTTCGGTTTAATAAGTATTTTATTTTATTTGACCTATCCGACTATTTTTTAGATCTGAGACCTAACTATTAATATAAAATGAGTCCGATTATCCTTTAAATAATATCCGAGTTCAATTCAAAAAACTAGACTGAGTAAAAATATATAATTTTTCAAGGAAATGGAAATATATCAAGCATTAAGACAATTACAATTTTATTGAGATCCAAATACGGCCTGAAAAAAATATGCCAGAATCTGGATTCAATAAAATATTTAGAATCAAGGTCCAGGTAGACAGAATTCGAAAAAGTCAGCCAGAGTTTGATTGGATGGGAAAGGTTCAAGTAGGGCTCTAATAATTAATGAATATCTTTTATAAAAATATTTTATCAACTTACTATATACCGATGTTCGATTGAATTGCCTACATCTCTCTCATAGACCATTGAGCTTTCGCCTTTAATAATCCCTCCGTAAAATATTTGTTCGGGCGAGGAAACACTTATTTATAGTAGATAAATATGTGAGGAGAAGATTCAAATTATATTTACCCAGTTAAACTGATTTCCGATTTGATAATTATTAATGCCATGCGGGAAAAATTTTTTGGATATATATTTTTATCCGAACTTGTTCTATATTATAAAAATAAACATGAGAAAATAGAATTAGTATAGTTAAAAATAAGATTGAACATAAAAATGGGTATAAAATGTAATTTAAAAAATATGGAATATACGTTGTAACATTGACGAAAAATGTAATATTATTGTCTTCGAGTTTGAGTGTTGTGACATCAAAATTAAATACAAACTCCACCTAAATTCGGAATTAAAATACATAATTGAAATTTAAGGTGTATTCAATTGGGCAAAAAACTATTTGATGTTACGGTAATAATCTCGGTTTAACAGTTTCTCCTTTGACTTCTGGTCCCTAGAACCGTTATAACGGGGTTATATTTAGAGCCCTGCATAGTGATTTTTTTGGGTCCCGAGCCCAATTTAAAAAAATTTTGGAATTTTTCACCCTATCTATTAAATATAAGTAGGAATTTCTTCCATACTTCAGTTTTTCTTTTTGTCCAAATTCTTGAATCTTTTAGGAAATTATATATAAATTTGGATCCATTTTATAAACAATTCCTCGGAGGCTATTTAATAGTATAAATCTCAGATGAAACAAAAATTATCAAAAGAAAATATTTCATAACTCTTAGAACAGATTAGACTAAGCCGATATTAAATATAGGATCGGCACTGATATTTAGCATTTTCAAAAATATCGAATCCGCCGATTTTAAAAAAAAACCGATCCGAGATTTTTATAAAATTGTTTTTGGTTATTTCTTGATTGTATATATAATTGTATTATTCTTTTTATTTTTATTGTAATGTTAAAAAAAATAATTAAAAATTTTATACTATTTTTTGTTATCTATAACAAGTAAAGTTACAATCAGCTAGTGGGTTCGATTTAGTAGAATTCTTAAAACTAGTTGACTAAAGAGTTTGGCCAAAAGTAAATTACTCAAGCTTATTTATTTTGCCCACATATGGCTGAAATGTTTGAACTTCTATTGGCGAAATTTCGAGGCTTAGGTCAAAATATTCCCTTTATATAAATCGGCTAATAAAAGCTGTTTAACAATACTACACACAGGCGCGTAACCAATGGGGGGAAAGGGGGAAATTATCCCCCCCCCATCGCAAATTTGACTATTTTCATAAATAATCATTTTAAGCTAATAAAAATTTTACCCCCACCCCCCAGACCCCCCTCTCACACAAATCAAAATTTTACAAATATTTGAATATCAATTTTCCAACATATTATTCAAAAATATTAATAAAATGTAAAAATATTTAGTCAAAGAGATTGAAATCAAACGATAATTTATAAATAAGGCTGAACATGAAAAAAAGTAATGTGTCGTTAGCAGCATAGCATTATTGAATTCAATTGATCAATCAGAGTTTATCATTGCTGCTAGTTGCATCAATAAATTATTTTTAGCTCACTACTTTGTAGAAATTTACAAAAACCAAATTTAGATTTGGTTCAAGTTATTGATTTGGCGGAAAATATACATGAACAGGTAGATACAATAAGAATGAATGTAGATAAATATTTTCATAATATTTATCTAGACGTTGAATCGAAGGCTAAATTTCATGATATAATACTAATTAAACCTCGTCTAGCACCTAGGCCTAGGCCATTTTTGAGATGAAAATAAATATTGGCTCAACTGAAGAATATTCTAAAATATCCATTTTCATCCCATTCTTAGATACTTTTTTATAGCAAATAAAAGTACGGGTTTTAGATAAAAAACAAGTCTTTAGCAATCTTCAAGTTTTATTACCCAAAGATCCTTCTTCATTTTCTAATGCCACTATTGGTAAAATTAAATATTTAGAAAAATTTTATTCCTATGAGATTGATACTGAAATAAATTTAATCAGTGAATTCGAATTATGGTATAAATATTTATACGTTACCTGAGCATGCTATTGATGCGCTCAATCGGTGTAAAGAAACCTTGGCTCAATTTCCTAATATTTCGAAGTTGTTTTATATTCTTGCATGTTTGCCTATTACAACATGTACGAATGAAAGGACTTTTTCCAACTTGAGAAGGTAGAAAACATATTTACGAAGTACTGAATCTCGGCTAAATGGGTTAGCTCTGTTAAATATACACAGAGATTTGGTTCCAAAGAAGACAAACGAAATAATTAAAAATCTAGTATTTGATAAGAAGTTAAAAAAAACTTGTTAATTTAATTATTTTCTAGTCAATATTTTAAACTACTATTAGTATTTTCAATAAAAAAAATTATATTCTACTTATATTGTATGAGAATTTAAGCTGAGGCTAGTTTTTAAAGCAAATTTTATAAAAAAATGACATTACACTTTATTTCAACTTTACATATAAATAAACCTTTACATTTAAAAAAACTTTATTAAATATAATATACCTAACTTGAAATAATAAAAAAGAGGCTTGTAATATCCTATCCATAAGCACGAATTAGTAAATAATAGTTAAAAATAGAAATATAATTATTATTAAATTATTCATAATTTAATAGAATAGCTAAATAAGACCCGGCCGAAGGCCAGGTAAAAGGGGTTTGGGGGCGAAGCCCCCAAAAAAATTTCCCCCCTATAAGAAAATCCTGGATACGCCACTGACTACACATTCACCCAGAAACAATGAAATATTGGAGAATAAAAAAATATACTTAATCATTCGTGAAATGGTTGGTTTCTTTTATAATAGAAAATAATGATATTTTTATGACATTGGTTCAAAGATAGATGATAAAAAAAACTCAATAGAAATATCGGATAGGTTTTTTTAGTAATATTGGAACGCATCGGTGAAAAATTTGTAGATCGGCACTAGAACAGATTAATATTCTATAAACCTAATAGAATATGATGTATGTAAGTAATAGAGTCACAATACAAATCACAATGGGAATTGGATGAACAAGTCAAATGAGTTAGATGAAAAATGACATGTGATTCTGATTGACATCTCGATAAAACAAAATGATTTGAGAATATATAAAATTTTTGGGGACCGGGCTGGCAGCCCGTTCCGAGCCTGAAGGAGATATTCAATGTCCGAGCCCCAGGCTTCAAACCGTCCGTGCAGGGCTCTAGTTATATTGTGCATATGATATTCAGAGTTGGCTATTACTATGAAAACTTATATCTAATCATTTTGAAATAGATACTCTTACCTGGTTCCAAAAGCATCTTACATCTTTTTCATTACCATGATTAAAGATACAATATTTTCAAAAAAATAAAATATTAACATTTTAAATAAACCTTATTTTTTTTTGTTGATGATTCTTATTTTATTTATTTTTTCCTTCCTTCTCATTTTATTTTAAAAAATTGAATCAAACAAGCATTTAAATTTTAGAATTTAATAAATTCAATTATTTTTAACAAAGAATCTGTATAGCTATAAATACTAGTGCTGTAAAGTAATAACGTGTAACGTCGTTATCTTTTCTGAGGAAAAGAACGTTATTCGTTACTTGCAGAGTTGTTAAAAGATACTTTTTAAATAGATCTAGATACATCGTCTAAAAGTTATCTAAAATGTATCTAGATACATATACAATTTTTATTATACTCTTTATATAAGGTTTGCATCTATCTAAATTATGATTCTATTGTGAAAATTCAATGAGCTAAAAAATTTATTGACTCGATAACATATTTATCAAATATAACTAAAATAATGATTTTTAGATTTTAATATAATAAATTAGATTTCAGTAATAAAATATTTTCAAAATTTTGGTCATCTTCGTTTATCTGAAGACATTTTTGGCTGCACTAAAAAGTCTTTCTACCGAGGCGCTTGAAGGGATTGTGGTGTTATATTTTATGAATAACAATTTTATATCAGGATATTCTCTAATAATATATTTTTGATTTTCATCTAAAGTGGTTTGGTTTGGATTAAAGTCTGAAGTCTCTTGATAAAAATATCAGTGGACGATGGGCCTAGTCCAATATTTTCTTTAAATGATTTATTCTCCTTCTTTTTATTTTCATTAACAGTGTTTGGTGTTTTCTCTTAAATTTAAAACTACAATTGTAAACATTTATTTAGTAATACCCTTAAATGTTTTACAATGTCGCAAGTTGAGGTAATGCTAAATGAAATTTTCCTATTTTTTGGTAGACATGGCAAGCATTTAACTATCAGATTTGTTTTCTTTATTTTGAGATATTATTTTAAAATATGCTCTATAAATTGGCCATGGAAAAATAATGTCTGAATTTGTTGATGCTTCATTGATTATTTTCTTCCTCTTCATCACTTATTAATATTAATCTAAAATAAAATTAACCAATTCTATTGAAAATTAAAATGGCAGATTCCTTGAGATGGATTGTAATATCAAAATTTGTTTGGTTTACTGATTAAATCGGACATAATTAATGAATATTTATATATATATAATTTTTTATTTATAGTGGTCTTAATATTTTTTTAATATATATATATATTTAAATTATATAAGTATATCAAAATATATCTTAAAAAGTATCTAAAAACAGATACAGATACCACTAAAATAATATCTAAATACAGATACTTTAAAAAATTCTATCTAGATACAGATACCATATTTTTATATCTAGATACAGTATCTAGATCTCTGGTTATTTGTTTCAAAAGATAACGAGTTTATTTTTTTGAGTAACTGTAACGCAAATGTTACCTTAAATTTTTTTTAAAAATTTATATTTTTACCCTTCATTCTCAGTTAGCATGAATTTGTGGCGAAGTATACAAGATATTTTATATTTTTGTGTATTTTCATACTTTGCCCCGAATTCGGGCTAACTGTAAATTGCAGGTAGCGCCATTGTTTATCTAATCAAAATTTTGAAAATTAATTGTTGTTAAAAAAAATATATTACCAAAAGTACCTTTTTTGAAACATAACGAGTAACGCGTTTCTTTTTGAAGTAACGTTACAACACTAATAAATAATTTTATTTAAAATTTTTTTTGCCCAACTCTGATAAAATTTACGTTAAATATAATATCTAAATGATGTCATTTGTAGTCATATTTATAAAACTTACTCTGTCGTCCGCTTTAAGTGGATTTCCGATTTCACACTTTATCAATGTTTCATTGATTAATGAACACAAATAATTCTTTAATTTTTTCTTGATATAAATAAAAATTTTAAGGGTAAAATAAGTTATTTTAAAAAGATAATCGCAAAATAAAAATTGCTTTTGTTTTATTTTAAATATAGATTGACCTGTGTCCGAAGCTTTATCGGCGGTAGAGCTTCTTTTTATAAATGATCAGCTGGTGGTGGCTTTTTAAATATGACACCGCCATGAAAAAAGACGATGGCGCGGCAGCGCCGGATATTTTTTTAAACTTAGATTATTATTTATTGGTAACAACTTTTTGAAATAAAATTTGTCATGCAAATTTTTGAATTCGAATTTATGATAATATTATTCAAATTATAACATCAATTTAAAGACTTTATTGGCTAATAATTATCTTGTGTTTAAATAATTTTATTAAGATTGAATATTATTCAAAGTGAACCCAGTATGAAATTCAGGCTGGCTCAAAATATTATTTTAAAAATTACCCTTCTTTAGCTAGCATTATCAATACAATTAGCATAAAAATATTCAAAATTTTGAGGACGCTACTGTTAATATATAAGATGAAAATAGAGTATAACACTCTTTTCAAGTCCAATTTTCTTGTTTCTCCAATATGGTGAAGAATGATATATTTAGCCAAAATATCTTTATAGTCTGATCCTCAATATTGTTTTTATGACTTGATTTTTCATAGATCCTGCATTCCTATCCATATGAATTTTCTTAGACTTGAATTAAATTCTTTTTCAATTTTATTTATGAACCTCCAATAGAATAGTCTCCCCAGTATATTTTTCAATAACATGACGAGTAGCCAATGTATGCAATATTTAAATTATTATCTAGTTCATAAAATATAGAGGTAATATAATTTCTTCGTTTATATTTATTAGTCTACATATTAAGAGCCGATATTAATTGCTGTTGTGTATGAGCTTTGATAGATAAATATCATCTAATATGCTCCGACTAAGCGTTATTCTGTCGGCTAAGTTTTTTTTATCTTAAATAATGCTCTATTTCCACAAATTGAAAATTAATATTTAAAAAAAAATCATGATCAATTAAAAAATTCAATTTGATTTTAAATAGTTTATTCTTGAAAATTGTAATATGTAATGTACAGATAAAACATTTTAAAATAAAGTGCTAAATGCTAGATAAAGTTTATTTTATCATAATTTTATATTTTAACTGTTAAAATAAAAAAATTATATATTTTGACACAATAAAAAAGTTGGGTTTATTTTGCTAATACATTCAAAATATCTTGCGTTCCAATATTATTTATGGAAGAATGGCATAAAATTTTGCAAAAGAGAACAAAATTCCTCCCTAATCCAGTGTCTTTTTTCAAGCCACTGGAAGCTTTTACAGTGGATTTGAAAAATGGTTTTAAATGTTTGTTTTGATTTTTCCTGTTTCTTTTCATTTCCATGATATATTATGTTCACCTAATAAATGTCTCAAGTTTGGTGTATTAATTTTTCGAAAAATATTTGATTGGATAACTAATAATAAAAAATTCAAATATTTTAAAAATAATTAAGACAAATTTACTTTTAAAATGAACAATTTTAGCTTTCATCTTCATTCTTCTCCTCCATTTAATGGCGATTTCTAGGTTGGCCAGTTTCCCCTCTGATTTTTCTTTTCCATTTTTGAGAGTCTTGAGCATCAATATTTTTAAGATTCATTTTTCTCCTATCCGCTGCTATCACCTTTATCCATGTCATCTTGGGCCTCTAGGTTTTTCCCCTCCTATTTCCATAAAAGTGCATCTCTTTACCCAGTCATCTGTCTTGTTTTTCGTGTCAAAAATGGAAAAGAAAAATTAGAGTGGAAACTGGCCAACCTAAAAATCACCAATAAACGGAGAAGAAATCAGATTAAGTAAAATTATAATTGTCATGAATATATACTCTTTTATCTAGATTCTTGGGAAATAAACGTATTGAGCAAAAGAACCTTTTTTAGCTAAATTAATTTGGAAGTATAAATTACAAAGGACTTTATCTGCAGCAACACAGGTTCTTTTAATGGTATTTCTATTAGTTTTTATTATAAAAAATTTCAAAAAAGGGGTTCGCTTGCAAGTATATACTGTAATTTGTTATATGATTTTTTAATATTTTTGCTATATTTATATTTTATCTAAAATAAAAAGAATAGTTATAATTTTATTTCATAAAAAATAAATTTCATATTATCTCATGTGATGCATAAACTGCGACTAAAACAAAATAAGATATAATATATACCTGTAAATTTATACTGTTTTTAATATGTATAACAAGCTGTTTCATATTGCAACTTGTTAAACAAAAGCAATTAATATTTTAAAAAAAATAATATTGTATTTTTTAATAGGTTAAATATATCTTTCGAAATATATTTAATATTATTTTCTGCTATAAATAATAAATATTTTAAATAATAATCAAAAGTATATATCACACCGCCATATGCCACTCGAATTTACATCGGTGGCGCATGAAGAGAGCGTTGATACATTTGGCGGTGACATTAATTATTAAAAATCATTGGCGGCTGCACAGGTCTAAAATTAGATAATTAGTTTGAATGTCTTAAAAAAAACTTACCAAGTAATATAATAATATTTTGATTATTACAATTAATTAAAATTTTTACGTTATTTGAAAATAATATAGATGGCACTTTAACGCCAATATAGTTTATGCCACTAGAAAAATGAACAAACAATTCTGTTTCATAGGCAGCTTCACCAAAATTTTCGACTGATGTTTGTAAACTAAGTTCTTTGTTCTGACCTAAGGTCAAAATTGGAACCTTTTCTCTTGATCTATTAATATAATATATATAAATTAATTATATAAAATGTTACAATGGTAACTTTAACAAAGTTTCTAATTGTAATTCACTCTCGCATATATCATTTTCACCACAATCTTTCAAAAACTGAACCTATTCAAACGATAATCTTTTTAAAATTAAATTGTGCACAACTTGAAAAGTTTTAATAGCCACATCTTGATTTAATATTGGATAGGTATTTATATCGACTAATAATTCATCTGTAAACTGTTCAGGAATGCTTGAAGTCAGATTAACCGTCAATTGAAAAGAAATTGGTCGAAGAAAGTCTTTGGTGTCCGGCTAGATTTATAACGATGATTAGGATATTAAAGAATCAATTTGTAACCTTAAGAAAAGCCACCTTAACATCGCATACATATTGATGAGAAATTTGTGGGGCCAATTTGAGAATATTTGACGTCATAAAACTTTTATCTATTTTATATTTTTGCATTGTTATGAAAATAAATCATTATATATGTCGTATTGGGATATGGAAACCATGGGTATAGGGAATCTCTTAATTTTAAATCATTACTGAGGTAGATTTTTAAATTTCAAAAATATAATTTGACAGGAAAAGTATTTTAGCATATATAGTGTATCAGGTCAATTCAGCTAAACTTTTATCGCGAATGTCGTTTACACAAAAAAATTTTATAGCTAAGTTAATATCGCGAAACCAATTCCGAGAATTTTTTTATAGCGAAGACAATTTCGCGAAGCCATTATCGCGAATTTATTTTAAAAAAAACATTTTACATGAACCCATTACAGCGAATTTTTTATCGCGAATATGTTTGCGAAAAGTCATTATCGTGAGCGCATTACCGCGAAACAATAAATAAGTGGTGTGCAGATTTAATTCAAAACATTTCCATATTTTTTAATTCGTTTGTAAATAAAATTATTTAACTTGTAAAAATTGATTATATATTGTCTCGCAAATCAATTAATTATATTTGCGAATATATTAAAAAATATGGAAATGTCTTGCATCAAATCTGCACAACACTTTATATTGCGAATGCCTTTATTTAAATGAAAACAACATTGTTATTTGATGTTATAAAAATGATATGCTACTATTGTAATATTATTTTTTACAATTTATTAATGATTTTCGCGCCCAAAATTTTAAGCAAAAAATATTTTTTGAACATATTTTGATATAAAAATTTGTAATTTTCTTTGTAAATAAATCTTTTTTGAGGTGTTCTTTTGGGAATTTTATTATAAATAAGCAATCTTTTACAGTTTTTTTATAAAATCATTTTTGTAAAATTATCTATTTTTTAAGTATATTAAAAGAGGTGGTTATTCTAATAAATAATTTCAAGAATATCTATATTAAACTTTTTTATGTTTTTTGGTAAATTGCCACTTTCGGTATTATTATTTTTTTGTTATTTTTTTTATAATATCTTTTTTTATGTTATTTTTTTTAAAATTAATAAATCAATTTTTTATTTAAGATATTTTTAAAAAAAAATTTTCTACAAATTTTTATTTAAGATATTTAGTTTTTTTCTACAAAATTGGGGTTAAATTAATATTAAATATAGGAATTTTTAATTCATATTTAAATTTCGGAGAATTTTGCCTACAAATTTAATTTTTTGTGGTAAAATATAGGAATTCTTAATTCCACATATTTAAGATATTTTTAGGAGAATTTTGCCTACAAATTTAATTTTTTATTTAAGATATTTTAAAATAGTTTTTTCTACAAATTTTTATTTAAGATATTTTAAAAAAGTTTTTCTACAAATTTATATTTAAGATATTTTGAAAAAGTTTTTTCCATAAATTTTTATTTAAGATATTTTGAAAAAGTTTTTTCTACAAAATTGGGGTTAAAATATAGGAATTCTTAATTCCGCATATTTAAAATATTTTTAGAATTTATTAATTTTAATAATATATTTCATAGAATTTATTAATTTTAATAATATATTTCAATTTAATGAATAAAATTAGATATTTAATACTATATTTCGTGTATAAATTTTAACAATATATTTAATTGCGTCATTATATACTATATTTCGATTTAACCCTTCACTAGAAAGATTAAAAAAAATCCTTAAACTTCAAAGGTGGGGTCTATTTTATCCCAAATAAAAATTTGTAGATTAAATATAAAATTAAATTTTTAGGCAAAATTCTCCTAAAAATATCTTAAATATGCGGAATTAAGAATTCCTATATTTTACCACAAAAAAAATTAAATTTGTAGACAAAATTCTCCTGAAAATATCTTAAATATGCGGAATTAAGAATTCCTATATAATCCCAATTTTGTAGAAATTTTTTTTTTTAAATATCTTAAATAAAAATTTGTAGAAAAAACTTTTTTTAAATATCTTAAAAATAAAAAATTGATTTATTAATTTTAAAAAAAATAACATAAAAAAAATAAAATAATATACCCCGAGAGTGGCAGTCTTTTTAAGGATAATATTTTAATATGACAATTGTCATATTCGTTATTTTTTAAGATTTTTAAAATTTTGACACAAAAGGGTATAAATATCATTTATATTGTAAAGATGTGAAATTATAAATTCAAAAGATTTTCCTTGGAAAAATCAATTATCATAAACGATATTTTTAAACATATTAAATTTTTTTGACGCTAATGGGCAACAATATGTATTTTTAACATGTTAAATTAAAATTTCAATTAAGATGTACCATATAAAAGCGACAATTGTCATAATAGTTATTTTTAAAAATATTTTGACGTAAATGGGCAAAAATAAGTATTGTTAACATGTTTAAATAAAATTTCAATGAAGATGTACCCTAGATAAGTGGCAATTGTCATAATCGTAATTTTAAAGTTTTTTGACGCAAATTGGTAAAAATATAGATTGTAAACATGTTAAATTAAAATTTCATGAAGATGTACCTTAAAAAAAGTGTGTCATAATCGTTATTTTTAAATTTTTTGACGAAAATGGGTTAAAATAAGTATTACTAGCATGTTTAAATAAAACTTTAGTGAAGATTTACCTTAGATAAGTGACAATTGTCATAATTGTTGTTTTTAATTTTTTGATGCAAATGGGTAAAAATATAGATTGTAAATATGTTAAATTAAAATTTCATGAAGATGTACAATAGAAAAGTGACAATTGTCATAGTCGTTATTTTCAAAGTTTTCCAATATTTTTTTGAGAAATTATTCAAATAAATATATTTTGTTTAAATTTAATTAAAATAATTTAGAATACCAATTATTACAATCTTAGTTCTTTATATTCTTTTTTGAGAAATGTGTTGGTACCATTTGTCGAAACAAAAAAACAAATGGCAATTTTCATGCTAATAATCGTTGTACATTTTATCCTGCTAAAAATTTGATAAAAATATCAAAGTATTTATTAACGAGGGTTCTAACTCATGTTAAATATTAAACTTTTAAGATATGGATCCACAATCTTATTCCTTTAATTAATTAATTTTAATTCTACATCTATTAAAATGTATAACCCTGCATTCACAGTTAGCAAATATTTTTGTATACTCATGACAAAATCGTGCTGAGTCTGAATTTAGGGTAAGATTTTTATGAAAAAAACCTAAAAACCATATGAATATTATTTATCAATATGATACAATCAACATGCTATAAATTTAATATTAGATTTTGAATTTTATTAACATATGGCAAAAATGGATTACCCTCTATATTTTAACCCATTTGCGTCCAAAAAAATTCAAAAAACTTTAAAAATAGATTAGGACAATTGTCACTTTTCTATGATATATCTTCATGAAATTTTAATTTAACATGTTTACAATCTATATTTTTACCCATTTGCATCCAAAAAACTTTAAAAACAACGATTATGACAATTGTCACTTATCTATGGTACATCTTAACTGAAATTTTATTTTAACTTGTTAGCAATATATTCCAACACATTTTCGTCAAAATAATTCAAAAAACTTCAAAAATAGCGATTATGACAATTGTCACTTATCTAGGGTACAACTCCACTGAAGTTTTTTTAAAAATGTTAACAATACTTATTTTAACCCATTTACGTCTAAAATTTAAAAAACTTTAAAAATAACGATTACGACTTGCTTTTATATGGGATATATCTTTGAAATTTTAATTTAACATGTTAAAAATACATATATTCCTATTAGCGTCAAAAAAAATCTAATATGTTTAAAAAAATACCAATTATAATAATTGTTATTTTTCCAAGTAACATCTTCATTGAATTTATAATTTAACATCTTTACAATATAAATGATATTTTTACTTTTTTATATCAAAAATCTTAAAAAATAACGAATGACAATTGTCACATTAAAATATTATCATTAAAAAGATCATATAAAATAATATAAAAATGTTTATTATAATTATTTTAAAAAAAAATTATTTAGAAAAACCATCTCTTTTAATATACTTAAAAAATAGATAATTTTTTAAAAATGATTAAAAAAACTATAAAAGATTTCACCTAAAAGATTGTTTATGTATAATAATATTCACAAAAGAATTCCTCAAAAAAGATTTAAAATTCAATAAATATTTTTGGCTTAAAATTTTCGGCGTGAAAATAACTAATAAATTGAATTATTACAATAGTAGCATATAATTTTTTTTTATTAAAAAAACATCAAATATTTCATTTCATAATATAATATAAATAAAATAAATTATTTTAATAAAAATAAGTAAATAATTTAATACTAGGCCGCGAAATATTTCGCGAAATAGTTTTCGCGCGATAATTGTTGCAGATGTTAAATTAAAGAGAATAAAAAATGTTTATTTATTTTAAAGAAAATGTCAATCAAGATTATTATTCTTTTTATAATATATTTTTCTTGAAAAAATAATATTTATTCGAAAATTTATGGTTTTGTAATGTAATAATTCATTAATTTTGTCGATTCGTGAAGATTATTGTATTTTGCAAAAAAATTTAATAAAAGATTTGTCCAATTAGTAACTATTATAAAAATAATGATTTCAAAATTTTCGCGATTATTGATTCGCTCTAATGTATTCGCTCTAATGTATTCGCTTTAAAGGTTTCGCTATAAAAAATTCGCGATATAGTCTTCGCGGAAAAGTATTCTCTAATGTGAATTTGCGAATAAAGTTTCGCTATAAAATTCATTCGCGATAAAAATTTCGTGATAAAAGCTTCTCTGAATTGACATGGAACCATATAGGGTATATAAGAAAATTTAATGGCGAAAATTGTCTAAAATTAATAGGGTAAGTAGTACTTTACACACTAGAATACATTTTCGGTTAAACCAGAAAAATAAAAATCACCCTCGGTAAATGATTTATAATCGAGAAATTCCGAATCCCAATGGATTCCATGTCCCTACGACATATATATAATAATATATTATATAATAATAGATTAAGCAAATAATAGCTACAGTCCTAAACCTTCGGGTGGAGTGGCGTCGAATGGAAGAACTGCCCAGTCATAATTTAATTCATTAGAACTTCGAGGTAAAAAACTAATTCTTGAAAAAGGTTTTTTGATATCCAACCCAAATTTTTCAGCTCTTAGTGTGTAACGGATCATTAATCCCGAATTGAAGGTTGAAGAAGGATGAGCCCCAAACCGGAAGCATACCTTGATAGGAAAACAAATTTCCATATTCCGTCGCTTAGCATTGGAACTTGAGTAATTATTTTTAAAGGAGTCAGGGCAAGAAAAGGCCGACGGATTTTGAGGGTCTAACGCGTTTGGAAGTTCCCGAACATCAGAAAATACGTTGATTATTGGACGAGATCTATAAAAATGTTAAGAAAATTGAGAAAATATAATTACCAACTGATTATTTTAATCAGGGTTGGCATTTTGGTCAATGACCGGAGGAGTACTTGACCGGTTAAATACTCTAAAATATTATTGGCAAATATTTTAATATAATTAACAAATATGCATTAAAAGCATGTTTATCAATCTTATTAGGTCACAATTTATTTAAAATTTACATTTGTATCATGAAGGAATCGAAAACAAAAGAATTTTTTTATTACTAAAATAAATAAATATAATAATTTAGCAGTCATGGTTTATTTTTTAATAAATTTAAATTTTATTTAATATTTAGCTGGGTATAAATTATATTAATTATTCTTTATTTTACTTCCACTTGCTACATTTGAATTTATAAATATTTTCTTTTTAGTTGTTCTGGTCAAATTTACAAAATAATATATTCAATACTGGTAAAAAGTTTTATATTTATATACAAATCATTGAGTCGTAAAAATAATTAAGATTGATTAACTTTTCAAAATCTTTTAAAGTTAAATTTGGTCAAACCGAAGCATCAAGTTTGAAAACATTTTCAAGAAGTACACGATGGTAAATCAGTTAAATCGGTATGCAGGTTTTGCAAGATGTCCTATATTACCCACGTTGATAGAATGGTCAATCATTTATTAAGCAGCTGTTCTATGTGCCCTGCTATAATTAAGGAAAATTTTATTCAAATTCCAAAATATCAACCTCTACAAAAAATCACATAAATGTAATTTGTAATACTTCTACCTCTAATGAAGAATTGGGTGAAATTAGTGAGAATGATTATCAAATTGACAATATTTTGTCTTATGACTCTAAAAATTTGATTCCATTATCTCTGATCAATCTATAAGCAAGGCGATTAAATGTAAACTTCAATCTTGTATAACCGGTTTCATATATAGAATGAATCCCAAAGAAAAAAATGAGCTCGATCAATTGTTTGCAGAGGCTCTATATGCGATACCTTTCCACATCACTGAAAATCCCTACACCCAAGAATTCTTTAAAAAATTACGTCCTATTTACACTTTACCCAGGCGAAGGCAGATAGATGGTAATCTTCTAGACAAAGCGTCAGGAGATGTGGAGGCGAGAGTTACTTATATAATAGATAAAGCTCCTCACTTATCAATATTGTGTCAGATAGCTAGAGCAACATCAGAAACGAGAGTATTATTAATTTTATGGTGATGACGCCTGTTCCAGTATTCTACAAATTTTTAAATAGTGAGGAAAACATACGACATATTATATTGCCCAGGAATTTAAAAATGTAATTCATGAATTGAATCCGATAAAAGTATATTATTTAGTTACTGATAATGCCGCTAACATGAAAGTAGCCTGGAGAATTCTAAAATCTGAATCTATTTATAATCATATACAATGTAATAATTGTGCGCTCATAAGTAGCAATTATTCTTTCACGATTTTGAAAGATTGAACGACTTCAGTTGCCATATTTCAATAATTAGAAAAACTGTTAAATTTTTCAAGAATAAACACATACCGGCTGCAGTATTTTCCCGTAATAAGGATCAACATGGTATACCATCTACATTAAGTACAATTAGCCAAACAAGATGGGCATGGTCAATAAAATAGGTAAGATCTGAAAGCATCAGTTGTTGAAGAAGTTGTATGTGATATTTGTAGAAATTACCAATAATATATTAAATGAAGAAATATTTTGGATGAAAAATTAATTTTTTTAGCTATACTACAACCTTTAGCAACCTCATTGTTGTAAGTGCAAGAGGATAAATGTACTTTGGCTCACGTAAAAAACGAGATGCATAATTTGGAAAATCACATAATACAATCATGCCATAATTCTATATTTTCTCCACCTGAAGAAAAAAAAAATTAAAATTATGTTTGAAAAGAGAAAAAAAAATGATGTAAATACATGTGCTTACAATGCTGCTTATTTATTGGACCCCCAATATCAAGGGGAGCATCTTACTAATACTGAATTTGATGAAGCATGTGATTTAATACAAGAATTAGGTATTTTACAAGGTGATGATAATCAAAATATTTTAAGTGATATAATAAATTTCATCAGATTTCGGCCTCAAACTGATGGAATGCACTTTGCCCACCTTGTCCATTAAGAGAAGTAGCTAATATTTTACCAACATTTCCTAGTTCGACTTCTTATTCAGAAAGAAATTGGTCGGTTTGGGGCAATATTCATATGAAAAACAGAAATCGATTGAAAACTTCTACAACAGGACCATAATTTAAGATTGATTAAATATTAAAGAAAATAATGATATTGAATATGAATCGGAACAAGACTCTGCCACGGAGGGCGAAACATTAACTATGGAATGAATTAAAAAATTTATGAAATTTAATAATACATAGATTCATTACAATATTATATATATACAAAATAAAGTTAATATTGGTGTAAAAAACATTTATTTGAATTTAACCATATTTGATAATATTTTACCGGTCAATTGACTGAATCGTATTTGGCGGTCAAATGCACAACCCTTATTTTAATCAATACATAGTGTCGCGTAATCTGCTAAAAACTACCCCTAAGCCTAATTAAGCTTAGCCTAAAAATCGGCTAAAAGTAAATTAGTCAAAAATTCTGTATCGGCTAATCGTCCGTCAGCGTTCCGTAATATATGCCAAGCAGTAATTATTATATATTTAATTTTAGTAAAATAATTTATTATTTAATGTTAATATTGTATTATTATTATATTATGAAATGAAATATGATTAAATTTTGAAAATGGTTCAAAAAGATTTTTGAACATATTTTGATTTGGTAAGAATTTTAAATCTTCTCTGTAAATAAATCTTTTTTGAGGAATTCTTTTGTGAATTTTATTATAAATAAACAATTTTCAGGTGAAATCTTTTATAATTTCATAATCGATATTTCTAAATATATTAGATTTTTGTGACGCTAATGGGCAAAAATATGTATTTTTGACATGTTAAATAAAAATTTCAATTACGATGTACCATATAAAAATGACAATTATCATAATCGATATTTTAAATTTTGACGCAAATGGGCAAAAATTATTGCTAACATGTTAAATTAAAAATAGTGACAATTATCATAATCGTTATTTTTAAAGTTTATTATACGTAAATAGGCTAAAATAAGTATTGCTAACATGATTAAATAAAATATCAGTTACCCAAGTGACAATGGTCATAATCGTTATTTTTAAAGTTTTTTGAATTCTTTGACGCAAATTGGTAAAAATATAGATTATAAACATGTTAAATTAAAATTTCACTGAAGTTTTATTTAAACATGTTAGTAAAACTCATTAGCCCATTTACGTCAAAAAAATTTAAAAATAACGATTATGATAATTGTCACTTATCTATGGTACAAATTATCACCAAATTTTTATTTAACATGTTTACAACCTATATTTTTACACATTTGCGTCATAAAAATTCAAAAAAGTTTAAAAATAACGATTATGACAATTGTCACTTATCTATGGAACATCTTAACTGAAATTTTATTTTAACATGTTAGCAATTTATATTTTTGCCCATTTTATCTATTGTTCGATTGAATTATTCGAGATAATTCGACTAAAATAATTGTAGTATTAATAAATATTGGAAAATAATCATATATTATAATTAGAAATTACCTGAAATTTTTCTTATTTTAATAAAATTTCCTAGTGGAATAATGAAGAAACATTTAATATTTCAAAAATTGTTGTTAACGACTGTTTTTATTCGAATAACTTCATAATCCAAAACTACTTCAGAAAACTCTTTCACGATGACGAAGAAGGTATCTATTTTATGGAAGTTATAACACATATACAATTATAATAAACTAGTAGCTATCACCTCAAGAATGATGGCGAAACAGATATTTCTCCTTTGTTTGATAATGAAGAAATCATAAATTTTACTTTTTGCTTAAATTTATAACACTTTATTTGTAAACTATTGCTAGATATTAGTTTTGCACACCATATTTTAGATTGCATAGTTTTTTGACAATTAATTATAGAATCACGTCGAATAAAAACCCACTAGAATGGTGGAAACTACACGGAGATCGATTTTTTTTATCTAAAATGGCGAGAGACATATTGTCAGTACAAGGATCTTCAAAGCCATGTGAGCTACTCTTTTCTGTTGGAGCGCATATGGTAACGAAATATAGAATGTAGCTAAAAAAGGATACAATTCGAAAAACTTTGTGTATAAAAAATTGGTTATTGTCAGATATGTCTTCTACATGATTAAATATTATATTGATTTTTCTACATTATATATAAATATACTAAATATGCATGCTTCTATTTTATCTTACTAATAAAATTTGTTTGTCTTTTATCCGTAGTAAATTTTACAAAATAAATTTTATAATCGATCTTTTTTAATTTATTTTTAATAAAATTTTCAAATCGAATCGAATAATCAATTCGTACGAATACGATCATTTTATTATTCGTAAAAATACGAATAATAAATTATTCAATTTAAATGAATACGAATAATTTTATTATTCGATTCGTATTTTTATAGGTGATTTAAAAGTTTTTTTAATTATTTGACGCAAATGGGCAAAAATATAAATTGCTAACATGTTAAAATAAAATTTCAGTGAAGATGTACCATAGATAAGTGACAATTATCATAATCGTTATTTTTAAAGTTTTTTGACGCAAATGGGTAAAAATTTAAATTGTAAACATGTTAAATTAAAAATTCATGTAGATGTAGCATAGAAAAGTGACAATTGCTATTATAGTTATTTTTAAATTTTTTTGACGCAAATGGTTAAAATATAGATTGTAAACATGTTAAATTAAAATTTCAAGAAGATGTACCATAGAAAAGTGACAATTGTCATAATCGTTATTTTTAAAGTTTTTTGACGTAAATGGGCTAAAATAAATATTGCTCTATGTTAAAATAAAACTTCAGTGTATGGGTACTCTAAATAATATCACAATCGTTATTTTAAAAGAATTTTTTTGATCCAAATGGATTAAAATATAAATTGCAAAAATGTCAAATTAAAATGTCATGAAGATGTAACATAAGAAAGTGACAATTGTCAGAATCGATATTTTTAAAGTTTTCCAATATTTTTTTGAGAAATCATTCAAAAAATGATATTTTGCTTAAACTTTATTGAAATAATTCAGAAAAGTGCCGATTATTACAATCATTGTTCTTTAACTTTTATTTTTTGAGAAATGTATTGGTACCATTTGGCGAAACAAAAAAACAAATGGCGATTTTCATGCTCATAATCGTTGTCTTTTATCCTGCAAATCTGATAAAAATATGAAAAGTGATTACTAAAGAAGGTTCTAGCTCATGTTAAATTCTAAACTTTAAAGATATGGATTCACAATCTTATTCCTTTAATTAATAAATTTTAATTCTACATCTAATAACCCTGCATTCACAGTAGCAAATTTTTTTTATATACTCACGGCGAAATCATGATGAGTCTGAATTCAGGGTAAGATTTTTATGAAAAGAACTTAAAAACCATATGAATATTATTTATCAAATGATATGATACAATCAACATCCTATAAATTTAATGTTAAGATTTTGAATTTTATAAACATATGATAAAAATAGATTACAATTTATATTTTAACCCAATTGCGTCAAAAAAATTTAAAAATAACAATTATCCTTTTCTATGTTACATCTTCATTAAATTTTAATTTAACATGTTTACAATCTATATTTTTACCCATTTGCATCCAAAAAACTTTAAACAACGATTATGACAATTGTTACTTATCAATGTTACATCTTCACTAAATTTTTAATCTAACATGTTAACAATCTATATTTTTGCCCATTTGCGTCAAAAAATTGAAAAAACTATAAAAATAACGATTATGACAATTGTACCTTCTATGGTATATCTTCATGAAATTTCAATTTTAATGTTTACAATCTATATTTTTGCCTATTTGAATCAAAAAAATTCAAAAAATATGATTATGACAATTGTCACTGTTATATGGTACATCTTAATTGAAATTTAAATTTAACATGTTAAAAATACATATTTTTGCTCATTAGCGTAAAAAAAATATAATATTTAAAAATACCGATTATGATAATTGTCATTTTCCAAGAAACATCTTCATTGAATTTATAATTTAACATCTTTACAAATATTTTTACCCTTTTGTGTCAAATTTCAAAAATCTTAAAAAATAACGAATATGACATTTGTCAAATTAAAATATTATCCTTAAAATGATCATATAAAATATCAAAAAAAGTTTAATATAAATATTCTAAAAAAAATTATTTAGAAAAAACCACCTCTTTTAATATACTTAAAAAATAGATAATTTTAAATAAATGATGAAAAAAAATTATAAAAGATTTTACCTAAAAGATAGTTTATTTATAATAAAATTTATTTACAAAAGAATTCCTCAAAAAAGATTTATTTACAAAAAAGTTAAAATTCTTATCAAATCATAATATGTTCAAAAATCTTTTTGAACTTCAAAAAAATATATTTTGCTTAAAATTTTGGGTGTAAAAATCACTAATAAATTGTAACAAAAATAATATTACAATAGTGGCATATCATTTTATTTTATTAAAAAAACATCAAATAAATAAATCCATTTTCAAAATATATTAATATTTCATTCATTTCAAAATATAATAATCTAAATAAAAAATATAAATCATATGTTTATTTGATAATAATAAAATATTAACATTAAATATATATAAAATAAATTATTTTACTAAAAAAAATAATAATTAATGCTAGGAATATCTTATGGAACGCTGGCGGACGAATAGCCGATGCAGAATTCTCGACTAATTAAATTTTTATAAACCTAATTAGGTTTAGCCGATTTTTTCAATCTCGGCTAAGCCGTTATGTAGTCGGCTAAAATTAGCAGATTACGCAACACTAAATACAAGCAACCAACATTTTTAACCTTAACAAAAATATTCTGTCCGATCGATAAGAACCAATCAGCAGATCCGGATATCCATTAGAATCCATATCAATACCTCCAGACAACGAATGACCAAATGCTAAAATTTCATTTTCTCCTCTAAAATAAAAATTTTTTTAGACCTTTTCACAGGAATTTCAAATTTTTTTAAAATTAAAAAATACAGAAATAAAAAATATTTTAATTTTGTTAAATAATTTTTATAATCTCTGCCTTTTATCGCGGAAAGAGTATTGGCCATCTTTTTGGTTTAAAAGCGATTCAAAATACTGAGTATCCGTATATCTAAGGCTAGATGGGGTAATAATTTGAGCAGGTGCACGAGCTAAGTGTTTATCAATTTTGTCGTGTCCTCCGTGATATATGTAAACTGCTCCTAAACCATTATCCTGGTTCGGGGCACCTATTGCTATATCTAAACATTTATTTGTTATTTTTTAATATAAACCATTTGATATGAATCATTTCTTAATATTATTTTAAAAAGTTTAAAAAAAAAGATAAACTACCTTATATAAATTTATAAAAGAATTCTTACCTTCGTAACCATCTTGATTTACATCGCCTATTGAGGATATTGAATACCCAAACATGGATTCATTTTTACCGGTAAGAATTATGGGGTTATCTTCGTTTAACCCCTAATAAAATGATACAAGAGAATTAATTCAAAATTTAAAATTTATTGTCTTTACATTTGGTCCATTGAGGTATATATACACAGCGCCCCCTACCGATTCATCATTCGTTTCATAGTAAAAAGGAGCACCGACCAATAAATCTAGATAACTAAAATAATATAAAAAATTCTATAAAGACAAAAATAAGAAAATTGGGTAAGTTACCAATCTAATCAAAAAATACATAGTTTAGATGAATCAAGCAAAAAATAATTTAATCATAAATATCACAAACACATCACATATAGACCAAGTAAAATCATCAAATTCAAAGGTTTCCAATCAAATATAATTTTTTTTTGATTAAAAAATATTGGAAGATTTCACTATAATTTATTTATTGATATATATTAATTTATTTTTTACTTCTAATTAATTCTTATAAGAGGTTATAAGTATCAAATATAAAAAGCTACCTAGGGAAATTTTTATTTTAAACTTGCATATTATGACATTGCATAATATCACTCTAATAAAATAATTTTTTAATATTAAAATAAGAGATAAGGTTTTAAATGGATACGATGTAAATTACCCGTCAGTATTAAAGTCGAGGGCCGCTAATTCGTACCCAAATCCGGATCCCAGAACATCCTTTCCCTTTAAAGTTATAACTGGAACCAATGTGGTGGAGAATGTGAGATTGCCTTTATTAAAAATAACAACCAGGCCTGTGCCATTAGCTCGAGGTGCCCCGCTTACGTACGAATAAGCTTCGCCAAAAAATTGTCCTGATAACACTGACATACCTGGGAGCAAAATAGTTTTATTTGTAACTTAAAAAAAATTTGTATTTTCATTTTTTTATTCATTTAAAATATTAAAGGGATTCGATAGTTTCATGAAAATATCGCCAAACCCTTACTGGGAACCCTTTAGAGCGAATACATTACAGCGAAACTTTTATCGCGAATTTATTTCGCGATAATGGCGATGATTTATTTTAAAACATCTATTTTTAAGACTTTATTAATTTAAATATTTTATAAAAATAGGTTGAAAAATCAATTCAATTATAGCTTTTCAAATTTTTTAACTTTAATAAATTTTTGTTTTCGAAGAAAAATTCTTATTATGAGATCACAAAATAGGAAAACAACATTTTTATATTTTGTTCTCATCCGATAAGGCATGAGAAAAAAGAGAAAGTAAGTCTCGAGGTTAAAGGTTTGGAAGTTAAAGAAGATTTCATGAAATGAATTTGTCACAACGATGGCCACAGATGCGAGTGAAGTCTCTAAATATAAATAACAAACGGTAAATGATGAAAAATGAATCCCGGACCCCGGAGAAAAACCCACAGGAAAAAAAGCCCCGAAATTTTTTTTCGAATTTATTTAAAATCTAATAATATCGGTATATTTTTATTTGGATTTAATAAGGTATGAGTGAAGTCTCTAAATACAAATAACAAATGGGAAATGATGAAAAAGGAATCCTGGAAAATAAACGCCCGGAAATAAACCCCCCAGGAAAAAAGACCCCCGGAAAAAAAACCCCGAAATTTTTTTTCGAATTTACTTAAGATCTAATAATATCGGTATATTTTTATTTGGATTTAATAAGGTATAGACAAATTAGTATTTTAGAAAAAAATATTATAAAAATATAATTTAATAATAAATTATATACATAATAATGATTTATCAATAAAATAAACAGATCTTATTGCAAATTTTGTCTACTTAATATAGTAATTAAGGATGGGTATTGTATTTATTACTATAGCAAAAATTTTTACGAAAATAAGTAATACATGGGTTATTTAACTGGGATATTTTTTCCCCAGTTCCAATTTGAACATCAGCATTTTTTCTTGTTTAAGCATTGCTATTTTGTTTTCGGTGTCCAACTACCTACACCCATCGTTCAAGTTTGGTTATCGGCAGTCACCTCGCATTTCATTTTTTTAATCAATTCCCAGATTGATGGGTGTTTATTTCCAACCAGATTAGAAAAACGATGATTCGAACCTTAGCATTGATTATTTATGAGTTATTCGTTGGATAGAGTGCTCATTTAAGTTTCTGGAGGAAATCGAGGCCAAATTTAACCTGTCTGGGATTGAGAATTGCTTCTTGTAACCTCCCTTGATACTCCATTGATGTAATTTTTATCGAAATATTCAAGAATATCCTTACCATTGCTAGGAGTAACCGATCTAAGGAATACCATTGCATTGCCCATATCACATAAAGAAACAAATGCTAAGCCGTCCATCATGCCACAAAATAAGCTTAGGGCTTCATCGGTTCTGTATTGGCTTTCCAGACCTAGCTTTTGAATTTTTCTATGGGTACTTTGACACAAATGGTAAAAGCATCCTCTGATTATGATGTGATCCCCTAATTGAAAAAATAAATATAAATAATTTAACATATTAATAATCATAGCAATGACAGTCATATCGTTCATAGCAGACTATTCGAAATCCATGTATATATATATAATGGATCAGGAAATAAATCCCGTTCTTGACATTTAGACATTATTACTTCGAATATTTTTTAGTAAGTATTTTGTGTTTTTTTTAAGTTTAATAGCTGTTAATGATTGTGGCATTTGCTTATAAAATTATTTATCAATATTAATTATTGCTAGGTTATACTAAAAAAATTAAGAAGAAAAAAATTGAGAAAAGGCCAGAAAAATAAAGATTAACAATGATTTAAAGCAAATTTTAATTTTTTTCCGGGGGTTTTTTTCTCATGGGGGTTTTTTCCGGGGTTTTTTTTACTATTACCATGAAAAAGATATGGTTGAAGGTAGCAGAAAAACTCTGTAGTTGAACAAAGGGACCGCTGAGCCATAAAGAGGTGTGGTGGTAGAATCTTGACGTAGCCACGGTAATTGATGTGAAAAAGGATGCTATAATGAATGAAAATTATGGCTGAGATTGACATGGGAAAATATAAGATAGAAAAAAGAAATGCTAATTACGATAATGAAAGAAACTAAAAGGTTGGAGATTGCAAGGGATTTGGAGAATGAAGATGGAAGCGAAATATGTTTAAAATTGCTAAGCAGAAGTTAAAGAGACAGAAGGTAATAGGTGTAAACTGTTTAAAAAACGTTGAGAGAAAAATCGTAATTAAATTAAAAAGGTTTGGAAGTTTATAAAGAGACTATTGAATGAAGAGAATGAATGGGACAATGATGTGAAATGTGCAAAGGTAGAGGGGCCCAGCTGTAGATTTGAAAAGATGAAATAAGAAAAGCTTTAAAGTGTATAAAGAAACAACGCGGCGGTCCGAGTAGTGACTAAAATGTTTCAGACATTTAAATGTGAATCGAGTGGTTTATGTGCAACTGATTGTTCTTGAATAGGCTACTCCAGACATCTGGGGGAATCTCGATATACAAAGGGAAGGGTAATCCTCTGATTGTGGATCATACAGAGCAATTAATTTGGAACATACAATAAAGGTTTTCGAGAGTGTTAGAAGGAGATTTAACAGAAAATATAAAAAAAAGTTTTAACAAAATAAGGAAATTTCCATAATTGGCATCAAAAATCAAGATAAAACGAAAAATATAGAAGCAATGAGTTTTAAAAAAACACTGTCGGATTAATCCTAGTCTCTCTACCTAGTCGATTCCACGATTAATGTTTCAAAAATAATTCCTGCTTTACTCATGATATAAAATTATATTTTAAACGTTCATAACCTAATTCTTAAAGCGATAGTTGTTTTTCGTTATACATATGGTTTTGATAATCTACATTATTAGTGAAATTGTATTGCAAAATAATTATCATGAATTATATTCCTAAATAAGGGTAAATAAAATGTAAAGAATCAGGAATTTCGCCTATCGCAATATTAAATGTGCAGAACAAATCTTTCTAAATTATATATAAACTCCCATTCAGTGTGCCTGCTATATTTAGCAAAGAAATGTTATTGTAAACTATTTGTTAATAATAGGGAAATGTGCCATAAATGACCATGTTGAAGACTGGCCACCACCCTTACTTTTTATCTATTGGACCGATTTCTCCCAAAATTGGTCAAAATATGTATATTTATGATATGTACCTTACCTAAGTTCATTTATTGAATAGAGCAATCCAATAAAAAAAATTTTTAAATAAGCTGTTTTTAGTACCTTTTTCTGGAAGAATCACGTTACACATTTTTTTGTTTGGTGAAAAAATTACTAATTTAGATTACTTATATTTTATATAAATATTATCCTTAGGCATTTAGCATTATTCACACAAAAAATTAGACTTTAAAAGTTTTATTTAATAGACATATAAAGGATTTAATAATAATAGACAGGTGAGTATTGTCTGGCCATGCATTGACTGGCCAAAATTCATACATTCATATTGAAATGAAAAGTTCACGCAAAACAATATTTGGTGCAAAATCAAATGATGAACAAATTAAACTGGCAATTGATGATATAATCATTAATAAAAGATCAACATTATCAATAGCTACGAAATTTAATATTCCTATAACAACTTTAAGATGAGCAATAAATAAATACAAAGAGACTTTGCAATATCATCATATGGGATGGAGTTCAAATAGGTTAATATTCACCAAATCTCAGGAGGACATTAAAAGATTATATAATTCAAGCTAGCAAATCACTCATGGATTTTGGCATAAAACAGGTTAAATTGTAAACAAATCATTTACCATATATGACATACCATCAATTATTAAAATTGAGCTTCCTAAAACTACAACCCCTAAAAATTTCAGAATGGATTTTTAGCCTGTGTGATATATCCCTACAACCCTGATACATTCTCTGAAGATAGTTATTAATATCTAATGATGATAATATGTCATAATTATTTATTATTACTCTGGCAATGGGCAAATTAGCTTATTGTGATCTTGAAAATGATTCAATAAATTCCGCTCCTAGCCATACATTTTTTTTCTCCAATAATAATGGGAAAAAGATGTTTTTGGAGATAATTTAGACCTATATTGATTTACATATTTGGTCGATTACATAGTAAATATATTTTAAAAAAAAATAATTTAGAAATATATTTGAAAAAGAAATTAAATAAAATAAACAGAGGTATTATCTATGGTAAACCCAATTATTTTACCACTTTTAATAATGAGTTATATAACTTAACATCATGTAACCAGTCCAATAATAATCTTAAACAATCTATTCTACCACATCATTATCAAAATAGGAAACAGGAAAAATAAATCAGAAATTTTGACCTCATTAACATGTAAAAAAACATAAATTAACAAATAATAAAAAAGTAAAAAGTAAAATAAAAAAATCTAAAGAAAACGAATGATGAGTGGCTTTGCATATACAAGAAGGCATATTCAAAGAGCAAGAAAGTTAAATGCCGCAATGTGAAAAATGGTCTCATGCTCAATGTACGAATAACAATGATTTATTTGTTAGTTATGCATGTAAATAAAGATACTATAATTGTTTCATTTATAAATTAATAAAATGGCTATCATAATTGTTGTGTATTTGTCTAATTAAGTTTATTAAACATCATGAATGATTAAATTATTGAAAAAACATTTTAACATGTAGATAATTAAAATTTATAAAATCATTAAATAGATAGTGATTAATTTTATATTGAAATAAGAATGTTTAACAAAAAGATAATTAAGATATTAATTTATAAAATATTATCATTAAATAGATGATGATAAATTTAGATATACTACTTAAATTGGTGTTTAGTTAAATTTTTATTACCTAAAAATGAAGAGATATTAACATTCATATTTATAATAAAATTCTTAAATAATATATTGTCTAATTAAGTTTATTAAAAATTTATAAATTGATGAATGATTAAATTATAAAATAATCATTTTTACATGTAGATAATTAAGATAATAATTTATAAAATCATTAAATAGATAGTGGTTAATTTTATATTGAAATAAGAATGTTTAACAAAAAGATAATTAAGATATTAATATTAAATAAATTAGATAATTAAATTTTTATATAGCTATATAAGATAGGTCTTTTGCAAGTATTTCATATTGCAGTTTTCATATTTAAAATAAAATTCTTAAATAATATATTATGGTCAGTTAACACATAGTATGAAAAACAACTTTCAAATAACCTCATCTAGTTCATAAACTATTATAGATAGTGATTCAAATTTTATTTTAATGATTAATTTTGGCTACACATTGATATAAAATTTGTTTGATTAGACCAAAATCTTTTTTTCAAAAAAACAAAACCCTACTATTTTTCGTTCAAAATTCAATAAAAAAATCATTTTATAAAATATTTATTATGAAACTTGTTTTAAATTATGTCATATTAAACATTATATATAATTTACATTTTAGGTTTATATTATAGGAATAATTGAAATTTATTAATAAATTATTTTGTAACACGTTTAATTTAAGTTATCGAGACTCAGTCAGATAAGAAAAAAATATTTTTGGAGAAATAAAAAATTTTTAAATTTATGCTGAAGAATGGAGGGAGGGGGGGGGCTAAAAAACTGAATCCAAAATGCCTTCTCTCTACTTACGAGTTACGTTACGACATTGAAAGAGAGGGGGAATACATTGCTAAGTTATTTATTTCATCATGGAAGATAGGTCACACTTTAGCCACCAGCTTATGCTTACTTAATGGACGATAAGTAACAAAATAATTTTAAAACATTTAGGCTGTATCCTGGTTCAACTTATTTTGATGACTTTGTAATTTTTCGTATTTTTTCCACCGTTTTTGTTGTTTTTTTCCCTATACTTTAGACTGTTTAGTCGAATAAAGCCAGCTATTTAGTAATAAGTCGAACTAGGACACACCCTTAGGGCTTATGATTTAAGAACTTATGTTGGTAAATTATTAATGACCATGTTGTTTTTCTTTCAATATAAGCATTCGCAGTATATTCATTGTTTAGCGGCAATGTTCTCACGATAATGAGTTAATGCAAATACACCAGCTAGAAAGTTCCGCTAATATGGTATTCGCTCTAAAGTGTTCACGGTTCAGGTTTCGCGAAAATAAATTTGTGATAATGGGTTCGCGATATTGTTTTCGATGTAAATGTTTTGCGGAAAAGATTTCTCGATATTACCTTTGCTCTAAAATTCCTTCGCGATGAACTACATGCATTCGCCAAAAAAGTTTGGTTAAAAAGTGTTTGGCGATTATGGTAAGTTGTAATATATTATTAATTAAAAATGTTACCTAAAAAACTATAATGAGGTACTGGCACTAAATCGGGAGCTTCCAATGGAGTAAAAAACCATCTCTTGTCAGCGAATATACCCGATGCAATGTTATTTTTGAAGAGAGCACCTATAAATAATAATTTGTCGGATCATTTTAACATTATATTTAGATTTAGGATACGTCTAAACTCAAAATATTTTTAAAAAGAAAATTGATTTAGGATACGTCTAAATTCAAAATATTTTTAAAAAGAAAATTCACTATTTCCTATAGGATTATTCGCTAGAAATTTTGAAAAATATCCTTTTAAACTCTCATGGTATCTAACCCAAGTTTAAAATTTAAAAATCTTTTTCATAAAGTAAAATTAAATTGATAGGGCATATAATGTTAATTTCTTACTTTCTTACTTAAGATCCGGTTTCTGGGCCTGAATTCGAGTTCAGAAATTTAAAATTGTTTGGTCAGGCATTTTGAGACAACACCAAACAGAGATCAATTCATGGACAACCCATCAAAGGGGTAATATGAACCAGGGACTGCGGACCTCTTTTAGAAAACCAGTTTTTAATTAATTATTAAAATTTCCTCTAAATAGAATTTAAAATTCCTGAACCCGAATTCAGGTCCAGAACCCTGTTTAAAATTAATAAGATTAATGACGATTTTATGAAAATGGGCGTTGCTAATAATTTTCTTTATTGTTATCTTTTTCCATATGAAAATTTAGTTTTCAAAAACATTATGAAAAAATCAAACTTATGCTGACCGTTAAGAGCATAAACAATTTATTGATTAATAAAATTATTAATAATTTCTAAAATTGTTAGAGCAAAAATTATTGATAATTTTCTCATGGTTTTCTGAAGATTAACAAAACATAAGAATACACTCTTCACTAATTTAATAAAATATAATAATATATATTAATAAAAGATAAAATGACTTGAATAAGAGTAAAGTAACAATAAGAAAAGTTATATTATTACTACTCAGATTTTTGGTAGCGATATGCCCAATTATTTTTTAAATACTAAATATATAAAATGCAACGATATTATTGTGCGAGCCCTTAAACCGGCAGAAATCCTTTACACTTAAATCAACTGGCATCTTTAGGACCGATAGGATAAGTCCTGGCAGAATGTCTACAACTCCATAGTCATGGGGCCAGCTTCTGGTTTGAGATTTCATTTGTAATGATCTAAATGCCCCATCCAACCAAAACGCCAATGTCCTCGAACATGCTGAATTTCGGAAAATAACTAAATACAGTTCCATCGATCATTTTTATACATTAATACACATTGCCTGCTCTTGCCTCTTTCGGTAGAAAAGTTTGAAGTTGTTTTAGAGGATTAGGGAGATGGATCCGCGAAAAGACAGATCAACCACAAGAATCTCTCTTCTTACGGCAAAGGCTTTCATTCTTTTCCATCGAGTAATCTTCCATACTTTTTCCAACATAATCTTCTTCTCTTTCATAAAATCTTTTATAACTTCTCTATATCTTCTTAAACTTCTTATATTCCATTATTTTACTCATAATAGTTTTACATATGACGTCTCTATTAATTTTGTATTTTAAAAAAATGTATATATGCTTCCTTTATTATACTATAACATATTAGATATATCTAGTTAAATAAAGAAAGAATTACACAGTTTATTAAACCATTTTTTTAAAGAGTTTAGACAGATATGATATGGGGTAGGGTAAAAATATTTTTAAAAAATGATTTTATAAACAAGTTGGTATCTTTAAAATAAAATCTGACTTATCGCTAACGAAAAATTGTGCAGCAATATAGTAATTATTCTAATAAGGGTTAGAATAATTAAATCAAATTGGTTTAAGTCACAATTTTACGATTAAAATCTGATTTTTTAAAATAAAGATTATTATATAAAATAATATTTTATCTTGTTATATTTTAAACAATTCGATTACTAGTCTTTCTTCTTAAATTAAAACATTTTAAGATACGCATTTTACTATAGTTTGCCTTTAAGTTGTAAATATTTGCTAAATTTAATTATTAACGATGATTTTACATACTGTTGATTCTGAAATTAATTTTCTGTAATAATATCTTATAAAAAATTATAATATTGATATTGTTTAAATTTAAGGAGATATAAATTATATCAATTTGTTCTTATTTAAATAAATATAATACAATATTTTGATACTAATAAGAAGGTTAATTCCTGTAACTTGCATAAAAAATTTAATTTAGGGATTAGTTAAATTAAATAATAAAAATTGCTTATATTAAAAATATTTATTATTATATATGAAGTCGATTCGATATTTAATTATTCACAGAAAATATACGTTAAATGTAATAAAATAAATATATTTATAATTAATAACTTCGCCATATATTTAAAAATAAATTTTTATTTAAAAATTTATTTTTTGTAATCCTATGGTAATAAGTAAGAATCCTCTCGCAGAAAATGAATTATCAAAAAAATATAAATAATTAAGCTAGAAAATCAAATGAATGGATATCAATATCAGTAATATATATGAATTAACCAGATTTTCAAACTTATAAGTCAAAGAAGGCATAAATCTAAAAATTTGCTTTGAAATAATTAGTTTTAATTTCAAATTATTCAGAGATTCATGATTATTGCCATAATGAAAAATTTATAAATATTCTTTTTTTTAAATTTAAATTTTAAATGCCCTTTATTGGCTAATTTTATTATTTATATTTTTTTAACGCCATATTAAGCACAATTTTTTATTATTATAACGCTATAATTTTCTTATATATTTGAAATAAATATATTTTAATTGTAAAAAAAATAATAAGGATAACATAATCTATGGACTTTTATATTCTATTATAAAAAAAATAAAAAGCAAATAAACCTGTCCAAGTGTAAGACCCTGGGGCACCTATGATTAAATCGTCATTGGTTGAAATAAAAACTGATGTTCCAGCTTGACAATATCCAAATTGCTGATGGGCTTTAAAAACAGGTCTACCAACACATGGTGAATACACTTCTTCGTATTCAAGAGATGAAGATAGTGAATAACATATGCCAAAGCCCCAATGGTAATCAGAGCCACTTCTTGAATATCTGTGTCCACATGTCTTTAATTTCATATAAAATAAGCAATTTTTTGAATTTATAGAAATAAATGGTCCCAAATATTTAATAGAACCCCCCCCCCCCCACCCACACAATGGTATTTGCAAAAAAATCAATAATCCAATTATGCACGATAAGAATTAAATAATATATTCCATAAATAATGGTCAAATGTTTTATAGTATAGTTTTATTTATTTTACCACAACAGATTCTCCATTCTTATGGCTTTTGATCGTAACACCAAGCCATTGATTATTCCTATTTTCATCTTTATCAGCTATTTAAAAGATTTAATAAAAGGGGTAAATAAAAATAAAATATAAGATTTAAAAAGCTATCGCAATTTAATTTTTTTTTATAATACTCATTATTTAATTAAAGGCATTAAAAATAAATCTTATATAAGGTTCTATTGAGTTAAACATTATCACAATAAAATTTCAATTTTATACCAATCTTAATTAATTTTTATATATATATTATGAATTAAATAATAATACTAATTAGATAGACATGAAAGAAAAAAAATTAGATAGATATAATAATAATGTATATTAAAATGAACCAATAAGTTTGATAAATAATATATTCATAATAAATTAAAATGCATTTAAAATATTTTTCTATAATCATGTAGGAACTTAAAGTAAGATAAGTTAAGAGAGCACAAGTGTGATGACTTAATCTATAAATGTTTTCTCAGTTCTAGATCGGAGAAAGGTTTACGGAAACAAAACAGAGAAAAAAAATACAATTTAACATAATATTTAAATGCTTTAAATCAGGGTATTGCGTCCGGGATACTTTTGAAAAATAAATCATGCATCTTCTTTCTTCATGTAATTCCCGTAAATAAATTTTATATAAATTATATATGTTAAAAAAAATATTTTTGCTAGAAATTCGGGCTGGGTCGGGCCTAATATTTTTTAAGAAAATTCAGAAATTTTTTTTAAATACATCTTAAATTTATCAATTTTATGTTTTTTTATGTAAAATAAAAATATTTTATTTTATTTATAGAAACTAGACCCCATATAAAATATATCGTTTATTTTGAATATTATAAAAGTTAATTTTTATATTTAAATAAATTTGGGCAGGGCCGGTAAATTTTTCAAAAAATATTTAAGGTTCGGGCCGAGCTGGCAAAACTTTTTTAAAAAATTTGGGGTTCGGGTCGGGCTTGAAAAATTAGGCCCGATGCAGATCGCTAATTTTTGCCTAAAATTCTGTATCATAAAATAGAAGATTGTTTTAAAGAAGATCAAAATCATTTTTATAATATTTATTATTTTAATATTAAAAACTTTTCCATAAAAATCAAAAGATTTAAGATAATTTCCGAAAAAAATTGGAATTTTAGGTAAAGTTTGATCCTCAACAATCTAAAATCTTTGAACATCTTTTATTTTGAAAAGCATTTCAAACTGATATTCGTTAATCATATGATTATGCACTAAGAGTAGTGACCACTACCACCCCTGATGAGGACCTTGTACATAGGCCTAGCAGATAGAAGGAACAGATTTAAAAAATAATACAGTAAAACGACATTGAATATGAATAATGACAATAACCCTATTTTTAGCATTAATAACAAACTAAACCATTTTTAGCCCATACCTATTTATATTGAAATTATAGCATTTTAAAAAAAATTGAGTAAATTACAAATGATATTATCCTCCTCCATTCAACCCTCCTACCAAAAAATTAGCAAAAAACAGGAAATTAAAATTAGCAAAACAAAGAAATACAAATCAAAACTATCGCCTAACATTATTAGCATCTTCATAACTCCTTATCCTTTTCTATCCCCTCGATTTCAATGACCATCTTGCGTCACCACTACTTTTAATCAAGATGGGAATGAATGGAAATATTTAATTTAGTTTCATTAAATTAAAATAATACATAAAGTTATGGACAAAAATAGAGATGATAAATGTAATATCTTAACTATATAGATTATGATTATGAGTAATATTCTTTTCAAATGATCCAATTTAAGAAACATACATTTAGATAAAATGACTTATAATTTATAATGATAAAGCAAATGATCAATAAACAAATTTTTATACGAGGTAGGTTGTCATCAACTTTAACCCGCAAGCAATCATCCATTCTAGGAGTCAGTGGGCATTTGTAAATAGCTCCAGGATTTTCTACAACTTTTCCTATATAATTCGATAGCGGAGCCCCGACCAGCATCCTATTATTTTCCAAAATTTTGTAAAATTAAAAATATGCTTTTCAAGTGTTAGCTTAATTGGTCAAAATATTTATAAATTAACGTGTTCATTAAACTTTGAGGGACAAAGATATAATATTTAAATTTATTTCAGATATCCTTCAAAGTTCTTATGTTAAGGTATGGCCTATATTTAATTTTTTTCTTTATTTTCAAGCTGGGATCGGATTTTTAAATTGGAATATATAATATGTTATTAATAAATTCTAAAAATATTTATAGCTTATTCAGATTTTTTAGAAATAATAGGCCGATAAGGTTTTCTGCAAGTTAGACTTCAGAAATGCCTTCAACACCATCCATAGGAGGGCATTCTTACCATCTTTTTTACACCATTTCCCAAAATATGGGAATTTCCTTAATTCCTGTTATGGATTCCCTTCGTTACTCAAATTCGGGGAATTTTCCATATCCTCCGAAGAGGGGATACAGCAAGGTGATCCTCTAGGCCCTCTGCTCTTTACTATAGGGATTCATGATTTGATCAAAAATTTAAAGACTAATTTCCAATTAGACCTTAATTTATGGTATCTCGACGATGGCTCTTTTGGCGGTTCTTTATCCAATGTTATGTCGGCCATAGAGTACGTTGAAATGGAAGCTTCGAAAATTGGTCTTTCCCTAAATAGGAAAAAGTGTGAAATTTCCTCCCTCAACAATAAGGATTTTATTCCTCCCTTAGATTTTACAATCATTCCGCACGAGGAACTCTGTCTTTTGGGTTCCCCTATTGGTTTTTCAACCTCCTTTTGTCAAAAAACTTTTGACGATTTGATCCATTCCCTTTCCAATTCACTCAAGAATCTTCCTCATCTCCCCAAGCATCAGTTCTTCTTTCTCACCAAAAAATGTCTTTTTCTACCTAAATTCTTACATTTATTTAAATCTTCCCCCGTTTTCCAGTACAATACTCTCCTTAAGGTCTTCGAATTAAAATTTAAACATTTTATCGAATCCCTTTTAGGCTTAAATTTTTCCGATTTCAATTGGTCCCTCGCCTCTATGCCCGCTTACCAGGGTGGACTGGGATTGTTACCCCCCTTCCTTATGGCAATTGCGTGTTTTCTTTCATCTCGAATATCCTTCGCCGATTCCATTTCCTCGCTTATCGAGTTGGACGATCCCCTTCTATCTTCAGCTAAACAAGAGTGGCTTACTCTTATCACCCAAGGCTCCGAGCAGCCAATTTCCTGCCATCTAAAGAGCTTCCTGGTCCCTATGCTCCAATGCTCGTTTGAAAAACTTTGTATGTATCCTGAGCTAACTAACCTTCAACTGCTCAGAAACGCAAAAAAAAACTCTAACGGCCATGAATGGCTAGACGCGATTCCGAGTGGTAAAAAGGAAACGTTACTCACAGACGATGAGTTTCAAACTGCCATTGGCCATAGGCTTGGTTGCCTTATCCCTTCTGTGGACACCTGTGCCGCCTGTCACAAACAGGTTGATCCTTTCTCTAGACATTGTTTCTCGTGCCTCAAAGTCAGTGGCCGTTTCCTGAGGCACGACAACCTTAATAGGTTAATCGGCAAAGCCTTGATTTCGGCCGGTTTCCCCAATAGCTTGGAGCCATTGGGTCTCCTAAATGCTGACGGTAAGCGCCCTGACGGCATGTCTTTAACGTCTTGGCACGGCGGCAAAAGACTTGTCTGGGACGTCTCTTGTGTTACCTCCTTTCCGGCTAACGGAAATACCGACTCCTTGGAACTACAAGAAACCAATAAGTTTAATAAATATAGATTCCTCCCTAACTCTTTGATATATTCGTTATTATAAAAAAAATTTCTAAAAAATATTCTCGTTCAGACGCTTCAATCCTTTCCCCGTCAACCCAACTGAAAAGTAGAGCGGGATATTGGATCATATCAAACTACCAATACTTTTAATTTTCTTTTACCGATAGTAAGTCGATACCAAATTATAATTAATAAATTTTTCAGAAACTTACTTTCTCTTATATCATTAAGAACTCTGCAAGTTGACTCGAGTAAAAAAAATTAAAATAGAAAAGAATAAGAACATTGATAGTTGACGCAAAATATCTCCTGACAATTTTGAAATATTAATTACTTTAAATATTTATCAAGAAAAAAAATATATCAGTGCAATGTAAAAGAATTCGAATTTATGAATGTGATAAAAATCACATTTCTAAGATATCTATTAGAGGTGGGCGAGAGATATGATAATTCGCACGATCCAATGGGTCAAGTTATTGGGTGTGGCAGGCTTTTACAAAAAATTGCCAGAGATGATTTGGTGTGAAAATAAATTTTGCAGGAATCATGGAATATTAACTTTTGAAAATTGTTTTTTAAAGAATATATTTTAAATTTAATTTAATAATAAAAAAATAAAATTTTTTAAAATAATATTTTAGAAAAAGTAATATTTTTGAAAACTAAACTTACACATTTTATAAACAAAAAGATTTTTTTTCCTGGAAAATCTATAGGATATGTCCGAAACTTGATTTTTTTTAAATTTAAGAACTTAAGCAAATTTAATAAAAAAATTAGATAAACTATTATTAATGGTTTTATTTAGAAAAGGTTAATTTTTTCATTTTCAAAAAGTTTTCAAATTTTGTTAAAGATAAGCATATTCATCATTTTTAAATAAAAATTTTGATTTATAAATAAATGCAGCGTGGAGACTTGAATTAGAGTTGTGTAAATGGATCTTTTAGGCCCGACCCAGTTGAAACTTAATTTTTGCCTGGTCCTGTCAAATTTCCAATTTTTTTACTAAGGTTGCCCGGCCCGGACGTTTTTTTTTAATACAAGGCCTAACCCCATATATATATGTAGTTGAACACCAAACTGAACAACTATTTATAAATGGTCAAATTAAAACACTATACTTTATAAATTATTTTCTATCAAATATAAGAATTCATAAATAATTTTTTGCCTGGCACGGGTATACCTCTAACTTGAATGTAAGACAATTTTATTGTGTTTGTTATTTGTGTAAGAAGAATTATGGAAATAAAAAAAAGCAGAATTATAATACTTGATGAATAAAAACTAAAAGGTAAAATAAAATAAATTCAAAAAAGTGAAAAATAATGATCATGCTTTAAAAAGTTTTAGTTTCTTAAAAATAGTTCTGGGTATGACGGTGGTGATCAAAATCTAGTTTTTCAAGAGTGGTGGGTCAGCTAAAAAAATTAAGCAGGGAGTAAATGGGCATTATTTTGTGTCAGCGTGAGTGGACAGCCCGTGATTGTGAATAAAAAAATTAGACCCGAACCAATTTGATATAATAATAACAAATTTATCTGACTATAATAAACAAGACAAATAAATTAGACTATGATAAACCAAGGGCCGTAACAGCAGCAGATATTTTAATGTTGAGAGCCACGTATAATAATTATGAGGACCTGCAAAGGTATTCTTTTACAGGTTCGGCACGGGTTAAAAAACCGATTTTTCAGCCCAGCTTGATTTTTTTTAAATCATATTTAATTCCGTTAGATTCCATGGTTCCTTTTTAAAATTTGGTCATTCTAACCAATTTTGACGGTTGCAAAATGAAATCAAAAATATGGGTATGAAGAGATGATTATTAATACCCGGGCGGGACTTTAAAAAAAATTTTTTTTATAAATCTGGCGAGCCCGGAAATGGTACGTACCTCTGTAGGTCTCTAAATATTTATGAAGATTATTTTTAAAGCAACTTCCAATGTAACCAGTTGCTTTTGAAACAATGTAACTAATAACTTTTAACAAAATTATTATTATATAAAAAAAATAATTTACATTTAATATTTCCAATTTTCCTATTTAGATTCAATTGCTTATCAATTGAACCCAAATATGAAAAAATTATGCGAATAAAACACATATGTTAAGAATTTAACTTCTTCCACCATCAATATTTTAATAATTTGATTTTGATAAAAATGTTAGCAAAAAAATAGAGAAATGATAAATCATTTTCCTAAATGCAATATTTAAAAATTACCTCAGACGCGGATACAGGATTATTTATTTATTTTTAGTGCAAATGATAATACATTATAATTATATTTATTTATTTGTATTATAAGAAAAAAATAGATTGTTTAAAGATTCGAATCGAGTTTTGTAAAGATTTTTTTTAAATTGTCCAATTAAGTATTATAATACTTTTGATATTATTAAAATTAACTTTAATGAGTTTAGAACTCAAACTGGAACTAGTTAGGAATTGAAATTAGAACCGCTCTCATGAAATTTATAAAAGTCCAATTTTATATGATCAAAATGTTGTGTGACTCATTTTAGAGGGATTGGCCTTTTTTTTTATTGGTTATTAATAATTTATAAGTGAAAACCTCGGAATTGGATCAAATCGAAACCGTTTTTAGTCCAGGATTTAAACTCTCTGTTATATAATAAATAGAGAGATGCGGAAATCAGAATTTATTCCAAACCAAATTTTAAAAAAATATCATTTTCCGCCTTTTTAAGCCTGACCCAGATTTCTTAAACTTTGATTATTTTACGGTCTTATCAATATTTTTAAAATTTCGTTTTAAATAATTTAGGACGAATTTTGTAAATTGTTTGAAATAATATTAAATATCCATTATATAATTTTCCATGATTTTCTGATTTATTGATAAAATTTTAATTTATTTTTTAAAAATCGTGTCCCGAGTTTGGAAAAAAAATCATCTTACAACCCGTTTCGAGGGTTCCGGACCGAGCATGCAGGTCTTTAATAATAAATAAAAGCAAAAGGAATAAATTATAATGTCCTTTCAAAATAAAAAGGAAGCATAACATCATAATCCAATCCGTATAATGCTTTTAAAACATTAGTCATCTATCTATTGTTAATTCTTAATTTGTTAAATAATGACTTATGAACTTATACACCCCCCCCCCTTAAGATCTATAACCCTACCCCATCTAAAGATAAAAGGAAATCCAAACAAACTACCCCTCCCCCAAACTTTATTCAAATGACGATCCTGCGTCATACACCATGGAATAGAAGTTTGTAAGGAGTTAATTATGAAATTGGTCTGTTAAAAATGTATATTATTAACCATAATAGCATAAAAAACTTAATTACATAATATAAAGAAAGGGATAAATAGGCGAATTAAAAAAATATATATAGTTTATTATTTTTCAAATTTTTTTAAATTTAGGAGATAGTTTGTGATTGAACTTGAACATAATAAATCCAACCTCCAGGTACAATAAATATTTGCTTTAAAATTATTTTATTCTCTAATCAATACAGTCCTATCGAGGTGGAGAGGATATTGGAAGCTCAAATTTACTTAATTCTTTGAAAATATTAATTATCATTTAACTGTTTTAATTATATTAATGGCCCCCCTTTCCCTATCTCTTATAATTTTAAGTGCATCTCCTCCACAGAAATAAGACCAAGCACAAGCAAAAAATCTATGATAGAAACACCTCCGGTAAATATTATTTGCGAAAGAAGAAATAATTAATTTGAATTCTTCTAAATTTAAAAAATAAATTAAGGAATTCCGGGCTGCTCAGTTACTTATTGCTCTCATTCCAGAAAGGGAAGACAAGATGCTTTTAAAACATTCGGCCTATAAAACACGGGGAAAAAAATTTTGCACACAGGGCAATTCGTACATCAAAAATGGACTTGTGTCGGCAATTTATAAGTAAAAAATTAATCAGGGCCTCGCAAATCTCTGATATTCGTAAATTAATTTGCCAGCCCGGGTATTAAAATTTTGATATTTTTTCTTGAATTTTCAGCTAATATTGTGATTTATACTATTTGTTGAAAATAAATTACAATGTGCTTAACTCTCTGATTTTAAGAGCTATCTATTAAAAATGTTAAATCTATAAATAATAGAAAATTGTTAATTATGAATGATCTAATTACAAACAATATACATATATCAAACACAATGATTTATAAAACGATTGTTGTAGAAATAGATAGCCATAGAGGAGAAATATAAGAGCCTTAAATAACATTTGGGAAAAAAATTAGATATAAATATTGAAAATGTGATGGCCAGGATTCGTATGAAAGAATTACCAGGGCAGACTTTTCTTAAACGCGTCATGCCTGATTTTTTGTAAAATTTTAACGGGTTAAGCAAATGTTTTAAAAATTTATAAACAAGCGAGACCGGAACAAATTAACGGGCTGGGTCTGGCTAGGTAACTTATGCAAAAATTTATAATGGACCGCGTTTTGCAGTTCTCTAATCGTAATATATTATTTACTTACACAGAAAAAATATATAACACAATATAATGATTATTTTTCCGAAATTTGGCATAAAAAATTATATTTGACTTAATAAACCATTTTCAACATTTGTGTCTAAAAGGTGTGCTAGTTTTTTTCTCTTTAAAACATAAGGTTCCCTGATAAAACAAACTTAATACAGAAGTTCTCGATGTAAGTGAGATATTATATAAATGTAAAACAGTAATTTTAAAGTTAGGAAATCATCATATAAAGATAATGAATGAGATATAGATATATATAAATATTTAGAACTTGAAATTTATAATACATTATAAAGCCATTAATTTAATCCTTATATTAAGAATTCTTCAAAAAATATTATTAAAATCTAGCTCGAAACCTTTTTGGCCATTATATTTTTAAATAAACCACCACTATCATCTTAAAATTAAACTAAATTGCAAACGGAAAAAATTCTCAAAAATAAAATATACACTAAGTTTTTATTTCGAATTTATCAAAGAGATGAGGCTATGAATATTTGATAAATTCTCAAAAATACAATATAAATACTATTTCGTTATAATAATTTTCTGAGGGGATCAAAAACGCTACCAGTGTTGTTAAACGCTACTTTTAAAGGTAGCGCGCTATCGCTACGTTATTTTATAAAAAATAGCTCGCTATTGCTACCGCTATCGTTTTCAAATGAGTAGCGCGCTACTTTTTTTAAAAAGTAGCTATTTTGATTTTTTTTTAAAATATTTTTTATGTAACTTTATTTCCACAAATAAAATATTGGTATAAAAACATGACTATAATTTGTTACATATATATTTATATAATTTATTTATTATTGCATTTTAATAATAACATTTCGTTATCATGAATATTACAAGTATAGTTATTATATTCACCAAATATTTTATATTTATATCATATTATAAAAAAAATTATAATAAATTTAATTTTAAAACCTGAAAGCCTTCCGGAAATTAGACCTATTATTTGTAATCATCTTACAAACCTTATTCTGAATTTTGTGACATATTGATTTCGAAATAATATTTGCTAGAATGTCATAAGTCTGACAGTCATTTATTATTTTTAATGCTACAGATTTTCGTTTTAGATTTTTTGGATCAATCCAGTGGTCACTCCTAAATAATCTCTAAAAATATGAATATCATTTATAAATCTGTGCGTCCAGCAATCACTGTTGTACAGATGTAGGAGACATCTGATAGATTTAATATTAAAGATTCTTTCATTTCTTTAAAGCTATCCAAAATTCTTGCCATCCATGTCTGCTGGCAAAATATCTTGGAACGTGAAGAAAAATGTTTATCATCTTTATAAAAGAACCATTATCCACCAAGGATAATGGTTAAACAGTATCTATAAAGTTCATTATGACTTAGTCAGCCAATTTTTGAGATACACCTGGTGTTGATGAATCCAAATTGCTTAATTTTGTTTGAATTAAATTTGATTTGGAAGTGGATGTATCTTCTTCCATTACCCCAAAACTTTTGAGATATTTTTCAATCTCTTTATAATTTGAGGTGTAAACAGTCTAAAATTATAGCTTAGAATAAAAATCATGTAGGAGATAATTACATAAAAATGTTGAAATAACTATTTTAAAATGTTTTAAATAATTTAGATAAAATTTATGAATATATAAAAAAATGATTGGTCTTTGATTTAAATTTATTTTAAAAATTAAGGATTAGTCTACATATTTATATTAAATTTGTTTAGTATATTACCTTTAAATGTTTTTTCAAATTAAATGTGCTTGTATGATTTGAGGATAAAATTTTGCGACACATCTTGCATCGAAACCGATATCCAGTAGTAATTTTTTCGTCAAGATTAAAGTATTTTTTGAATTTTGGAAAAGATAATTTATATTTTTCTCATTTTCCAAAGAAATTTCGCTATCTTCAACAATCTCACACATTTTTAATAACTAGATTTATAATGTATAATTTTAAATATAAATTTCAATATTAAATTAAATAAAAGGATTATAATTTTAGATTTAATAAAAAATATATTTTAATAATTTTTAGATGTATTTATTATGTAAAATTAAAAGTAGCGAAGTAGCGCTACTTTCTAAATTAGTAGCGAGCTATCGCTATTTTCTAAAAAAAGTAGCGCACTAAAGCTACCGCTACTGAAAAAAGTGCGCTATTTTAACAAGACTGAACGCTACCTATTGCTCCTCTTGCGAACGTCCAATTTATGGCAAAATTAGATTTTTTAAATTTAAAAAAAGACCTAAAATTTTAATAGCATAATAAAGTTGAGTGAGAAAATCATAAATCTTTAAGATATTAATCAGGCACTACACACTTATTGCATTTAAAATTACACAGGAAGGATATTTTTCGGGGATATAACATAAAAACGTATGCTCGTTTAATTTCATTCATCAAAAAGCATGGGATGGGCTTAAAATTGAAAAACAAAGCCAGGCTTTAAATTTTTTTTATTACTATAGGTCTCTGATAAATATTGGTATGAAACCAACAAATTCCACATTTCGTTTTATGTTTGATTCGGCAACTGGCTTTAGTTTCTATTTTTTATTTTGGTTCGTTTTAGTATTTAAAAAAATTATCCAATAAACTCTAGTCTATCGGGAAGATAATATAATTTGCTTTTTCAGAAATTGAATTTTTATTTTGCTGCTAATTTTTTGTTTTTGGATAACCAAAATTTTTTTAGCTAATATTTTACAGCATGGATATTTTATATAGGAAAAATCAATTTGTTAGAAGAATGTTATAGATTTACTAAAATAAGCGGCAAGCTATTTTTGAAAAGGCTAGTACGCCCCTAAAAAAAATTATATTTTTTTATTTTATTAAGTAACTCCAATTAAGTCTAAACACTATTTTAAAATATTTGCATAACTATATTTATATTAATCATTGCATTTGCAGGTGCTAATAATTCAATTTAAGGCCTAAATTAAATTTCAATGTGATTATAAATTATTTTTATATGATTAATTTAATGCATTATTATATAAAAATCACTTACACATTTTCGTATTTATTTGATCTTAAGCGAATCTTGTGTTGCGCTACAGAAAACCCGAAATAACTTTTAGTTAAACCCGTTTTTATAATAGGAATATCGATATCCAAATTAAAGGCTGAAACGGGGGTTAGGTTTATACATAAAATGACTAATAGGATATAGTAAGGAATCAAATAATATATGTTATGGAATGACAAAATGGTAGTGTTGCTCTGAATCATATCATCTTTCAAATAGGTTGAGGTAAAAAATGAACCAACATTAGTTGCAGTTTAGAATTGTAGTTTTAACAATTAAGTTTAATGATTTATATGTCCCGAGGAATTTAACATGAATTTATAAGTATCAAAATTAAGTTATTCCTAAAAATTTATTAAAACGCATAAATTAAATTAATTTTTTAAAAAAATAAATAATCCAAACATTAAATCACATTAGGATTTTTTTTTTATCAATTTTTATAAAAATTTAACTCTTAAAAAATAATAATGCATAAAATATTTATAAAAATATTAATCTTTAAACACAACTCTGATTTGTTTATTATTTATTACATAAATAATATTATTATTCATGTAATAAAATAAAAGAGAAATAAAATTATTTTCTATTATATTATTACAAAGAAAAAATAAGTGTACACAAATAAATTATAACAAAACAATTAATGAAACAAAATAATAAAAAAATAATGATTGATAATTAAAAATAAAATTGATATGTAAATTACGTTTTAAAAATAAAATTTTTAAATATCATAAAATTGAATTCTTTTTATACATTAATACAGTTGAGTCGAAGGGACGGACAAATGCCATTAAAAATTAAATTAATTAAAACGAAAACGAATTGTAGAAAAAAAATTAATAGCGAATTGTAATTTACAATCTTACTATCTACAACAGCACATGTTTATGAATAAATACAGAATATTCAGAGGCAATTAAAAATTGCCCGGAAAATTATTAGCCGGAAAAAAAAATTCCAGGAAAATAATTCACCGAAAAGAATTTCTCCGGACAAAAATTCCCCATTTTTTAGAACCTAAAAAATCTTATTTCTTTATTTTTTAGAAAATTAATAAAATAGAAGAGTAAATTCCCTATAAATATATCCTCGAATAAAATATGAAAATATTTTGAAAAAATCAATAAAATCCTGGAAAATATATTCCTGAAAAAGATTTCCCAAATAAAATTCTTAACCTATATAAACAATAGTTGAGGTTATCCTGGTTCGACTTGTTGCCAGATATCCAACTGGCGTAATTTTCAGATTTTTTTACTATAGTTTAGATTTCTCCCAATTTTTTTCCAGATTTTCCTAAAAAAATTCTCCTTATTTTTTAAAGAAATTTTTCAAAATATAAGATAAATTAAATTAACCAGAAACTTATGCTATCATTTTTTATTCTAATTAGTTTTAAGAGAAAATATTATCCCTATCGGTTTAATATGTCATAGAATTCACAATGCAGGAAGAAAGGAGCATGCTTCATTATCAAATATAGAAATAATTGTTAAATGTTAAGCCGAATTCAGCAGATTCATAAAATGGATATCTGTTAAAAAGTTTATGAATTCTCGCTAACTGAATGGTCCGAACTTGAACAAAATGTTCCAACAAGATGGCCCTCATTGATAAGGGCTCTCGAAAGACTTAATAAAAATTATTTAGCAGTTAAATCTTATTTTTTATCACAAAAAAAATCCCCATTCAATATTAAAATTATTTTATGAATATGTATTGGCCGAGGCTTATTTAGTAGTTATTAATATAGGGACAACAGGTTAAAAAAAATCCTAAAATTCAATTGTTATAGAGATCTTTTCATTAATGAATAAATTAGTTATAACTTTAATGACCCAAGTTATCAATAACTTTAATGGGCTCGGTTGTAAGAAAAAATAAAATATGATGATCATGATAAAATCGCTTCATTACAAAATGAGACTACTAAATTCATTAAAATAATCATTTGTATTTAGAAAGAAAAAAAATTTTTCAAATAACAAATGTAGAAATCTATATGAAGCTGGAATTCAAATTCGAGTAAGTTGAATTAATAATAATCAATTTTAATATTAAAGATATCGAAAAAAGTAGCGGGCTACTTTAATAACTCTGATATTATTTTATGAAACAATAAATAAATAAGTTTTAAAAATTAGGCGACACTACTGTATTATGAAGATTTTCTCAACTGGCTAGGATTTCTTAAATATGTAATTCCAAATGTATAAAAATAATTTCATAAACTTTTCTATAATTTATACATTATATTTTGTAAGAATTATATTGAAAGAACTAAAAATAATGGAAATTCTGTTGACTAAATGTAATATCAAGTTTATTTTATAAATTTTAATGAATTAAAGTCAGGTTGTTAACCTATTTTATCACTTGTGATTATATATAAAAAAAATATAGTTTGAAAACCAAAAAGTAAGATAATATCAATTTTTTGAAATGTTGAGATATAATTCTTTTGATTTATAAGATAAACGAAATTATTGAGTGAATTATATGAGAATACATAATATTTAAGGCCTATACGATCTGCAATATTAAATGCTACATGGAAAAGTCAGATTATTAAAAAATTTCGCACCTAGTTAGTCTTTATTACATAAATATTAACCCAAATAGAAAATTGACAATATTTAAAATATTTGCATGCATATTTATTTAGATTAAACAATTTATTCCTATTTTTTATCGATAATTTCCCAGTTCTCACAAACTCGGTTCCATTTCAATATAGAAGTCGCGAAACACATTTATTGTGAAACTTTTAGCGCCAATGTTTATTACAGCGAATGAATTTTATAGGCAACTCTTTATCGCGAATATTATTTCAGAAAATAATTGCAAATCAAAATAAATGATTGAGTTATTTTTAGAGAGAAACGCAAACTCTTTAAGCGAATACATAACGTAACAGTCAACTTTTTTATTCATTAACATGAATCTTTTATAGCGAAGTCATTATCTCTATAAGATAATAGCCAAAACAATATAGCAAAGGCTATTTCGGTAATAATATATCGTGAAGATATTAATGCAGCAATCTCGCAAGGTAACTGTGATAATTGATTATATACAAAAATTTTATTTAAATATTTCTTATTAAGATTGGATTAAATAAATTCGATTTTGGGGTATAAAATCAAACTTTTAATTTTTTAAACCTAAAACTTTATATTATGATTCCGAGCTTATAATTGATTTAGAAAATATTTTATAGATTCTTTACTCATATTAAAAATGGTAAAGTCAAAAACATTTTAAGAAAATATAGCATGATTAAATAGGGCACATTAATTTAATATAGGTTTTATGGGCGTGATTTTTAGAAAAATGAATTCTGCCGGACATATATTAGCGTCTAATTTCGGGGGTGTGTCGGGGATATAAGTATACTATATATCTATTAGTTTAAGGATAATAGAGCAAAAAATATTTATCACAGACTATTTTTATTAATTATGCGTTAAAGTTTAATTATTAATTTATACCAACTTTTTCAATTCAAGCATAAAAGTTTTGTTACTCTGGAGCACTGGCATATCCAGGTTGCTAAAAGGGGGGGGGGCACTTTCTGAAATTTTTGAATTATAGTGGTGATTTTAAAAATTTATTATTTTACTTATTTTTCTTTCAAATTCTTTCGTATAAAGACACATTGTATACATTTTTCGGGGAGAGGGTGATGGGAAGTATAATGGGTAGAAATTTTTTATTAGCTTAGAATGACATTTTGGAGAACAGGCAAATGAGATGGGGGAATTTCCCCCTCCCCCGCTCTATTGGCTAAACGTCTATTCTGGAGCAATGTTAAGACCAGGTTACTTACTATAAATATTTCAAACCCAAATTTTATAGCCAATGAATAATATTCTTTATGATAGCCAGAATATTTTTTTAGGATATAAATTGTATTTTTGTTTTTTTTTTGTAAAGTTTAATGTCATACTAAATGTTAATATTAATGACAACAGGGCGGTGACCAGCCGGGTCTCCCACGTTGAGACCCCAATTTAAAAGAAAATGTAATATTCACATTGCATTGATCAAACTTTCACAAGATCTATCGCAATTTAAAAATTTCTACAAATCTACCCAAAATTCTGCCACAAAACTTTCCACATTTTTATTCAAAAATGAATGTTTAAAATTGATAAAAAAATATATAAATAAAAATAATTCTGATTTGTGTTGTATTATTTTCCTGTTCAGTTTACAAATAAATTTATCATTATTTTTTAGATCTGTAAGTTCGGATTTATAAAGTTTTAAATCTTATTATGGATTCATCGTTGTCGAATTCGAAAAATCAAATGAATTTAAAAATAAAATCAGCAGGTTTTTATGAAATATTTTCCTTTTTATCAAATACTTAGATATAATAAGTATATTGATAAATAATACTACCGTTTGAATCTGGCTAAAGACAAGGGAAAAGCGCAAGGCCCGAAGAGAGGGAGAGCTATGAGGTGAGGGCTAGGCAAAATATAATAAAATATTTCCCTCATAATTTAAAATTTTTGTCTGGGAAGTTACAAATCGGGTGATAATTATAAATAACTAGTAGATAGCCCGTCAAAAATGACGGAATATGAGAATCTTTTCCTTACTTTTATGATAGTTTTTAGCTGATATTTAAAAATAATTTTATTCTTTATAACCCTCACCCCGCCCCCCCCCCCTTCAGGTCAGGTTCAATCCATTAAAACTAAGTTTAAATACTATGGTTTGATTCAAAATATATTTAAAGTTTTTACTTAATAATATCAATATCATTTGTTAAATTACTGATCACCTATGCCTAATATTTAATATTAAAAAAAATTCCCAAGCAAGGTACGCCATAATAATTTTGCAAAATTTTTCCAAGCCCAATGAAAGATCATAAAATTTTGTTAGTTGAGAACTGAAAAAAAATATTTAAAAAATCATAATGAATTTATAAATACATTCAAAATCAGATTTTCATGGGCCTTGGTTTTTTGATCAGACTGAGCTCAGGCCTGCAAAAAAATTTCCTTTAGGCCACTGTCTGACCCATAGTTAATAATAAAAAAATTCTCAAGCGTCCAAGCTGATAACAATTTTGAATAATTTTTCCGAAGTACAGCCCAAATTAATTTATAAAAATATTTTCCAAGTCCAGCCCAACCCATAGAAATTTTCAAAATTTATTCCCAGCCTGGAGATATGTAAATCTCTTAAAATCATCTCTATTTTTTATTCTTTTTAGCCCCGCTCACCCCTACTTTAAACCAAGGCCAACCCATTAAGACTAAGAGTGAATACTTTTTTTTTGAGTATGAGCCTTGGTTTTTTGATCAGG